AATGTCATTGTCGACCTCAATAGGGATGTCGATTCTTTCCGAAAAAGGTCGATTTTTAAATCGATTCAAATCGTAAGTGGATGTATCGATTCCCAAAAAATCGATTTCTAAAATATCGATATTTTTTTCATGTTTGCATTTATAATGTAAATATAAATCCATTTTATGAGAAATAAATCCCCTTCATCATAAAAAAATAAGGGGACTGATTCATAAGGATTTCTGTATCTATTTTGAGACTGCTACGTCTCCGGCGCTGCGGGAAGAGCAACCTCTACGCCTTAGCGTAACAAATCGCAGGCATCACTCTTCGCCTCCGCAGCTTCGGCTTGTTGGTCGCCTTCTACGATTTGTTACAGCAGGCGGAGGCTGCTCCCCCTACGCGCCTTCGGCTCTATAAAACCACTCTAGGGGTAGGACAGATTCGTACCAGGTGGAGTCGGGGTCAATCAATTCGGTTCTTTGACATAAGTTGAACCTAACCTATTTTATTTGTTACCTGCCCTAATAGGAACTGTTAAATAAAACAAATTTCAATAAGAGATCATTTATCATGGTATCTTTCTTGTTTTTCATAAAATGGGTTTATATTTACATTATAAATAGAAACATTAAAAAAATATAGATATTTTAGAAATCGATTTTTTGTGAACCGATACATAAGCTTACGATTTGAATCGATTTAAAAATCGACCTTTTTCGGAAAGAATCGACATCCCTATTGACGTCGACAATGACATTACAAAATGGCGCCAGTTTATTAGCAGATTAGACATAAACATTGCAAGAATAATTGATTTTCAATTATTCTTTTCTCAAAAATTACGCGTTTCCGTATAATGAGACTTTGTGTGTGTGCTTATAATAGTGTAATCTTTCTGTAAAAATACGTATCAACACCAAACTCCACTGACGTCAATGGAAAGCTAAGCCATTCAACTTCCTAAGTATGAATATGTCGAGTCTTAAATTAAACAAAAATAATTTATCTAATATTTTTCTGAAATATTTATAGGCTTTGAAAAATTCCACAAAATATATGAGATTTCTATTTACCTCTCATCAGGGGGCAATGAAAACACTTGAGGCGTGATTAGAAAATTTTCATATGGCTGTCTCATTATAATTAGTTTTATTTTAGGTTTAGATAAGAAAGTCAAACTCAAATAATAAAAAGAAATACTGGTTATTAAAAATGTAGCAACAGTTATTCTTATACCTATGAGATCAATTTCAAACTAATGTAAGAAAGGAACATAATAATTGTAAATTTAAATTGGAATTATAAATAATCAACAATGTAGCATAATTTAAACTAAGTTACATTTTGAAACTTATGAAATTATATTTTGTATACCTACTCAGCAGTTTCAGTGTTCTTATCAAAGTCTAATTAGTAAACATTATCATCAGTTAAAGCTTTTAAAATGTCAGCATCACTTTTACAATAACTCCATCTCCGTAAAGTTACTACTTTTGTATTTTTGGTGTTCTGACTCTTTTCCTTTTTTATGCTAACTAGAGTAACCAAAGGTATTTTTTTGTATTTGTCTAGACTCATTGCAGGTTTATCATTATCGACCTTTTGTATGAAAATAATATTATTTTTTTTATCTTTGGCACTTTTGTTTTCTTTTACTTCTAAAGCCTTCCTGTTATCATATGCATACATCTTACCCGTTAAAGGATCTACTAATTCATTAAATAAGTTTTCTGGTTCTATATCAGGAACGTAATATGCGCTTGTTACATCTTGATCAATGTAGTTGTTAATCAGTTGTTCTTCATCTTTTTGTTGAGAACTATTGCCCCAATAATGTAAAAGTCTATTGTCATGAGAAAATGGTTCTACACGACTGCTTTCGTTGTTTAATTTTACATCTCCACCATTAACATCAGTTTCTGAACAGCTGAAAGCACATTCATCCACATATACAGCTGGCAGCAAATTTTGTATAACTTTTATTATCGTTTTTAACATATTTTGGTGTATTTGCTTTCGATGTATTTCTTTCCATGTCTTTCGTCAACAAATTATTTTTTATTTCGTTTATCACCTCCATTTTCTTGTCGTTTGTCTTGCATTTGGATACTTGGTCAGACATTTTCTTCTTCCTTATTGTTTCATTTTCAGGGTCTGTGTTTTCGATTTCTTCATTATCAGGTTCATTACTTTTGCGATCTAAATTAACTGCTTTTCCAGGAATAACTTTTTTTTCCCCTGTTACCTTGTTTACGTTTTTTTGATTGCTTATTCGTGATTTCTTTGTCAGATTCAGATTCCAAATTTTCATCATCTATGTTCCTAAGCTTTTTCCAGATTCTATATTCAATTTTCGTTTATGTGATGGTTCTTTAATATTTATAGTGCCATATCTCATTTCCTTTAGTATTTCCAAAACTGATTTATCAACTGCATATCTTGACTTATTCGGGTCTTCTGTATTATCTTTAGGAAGTCTTGAAAGGATTTGATCACGATCGATAGGAATGATCCCTGCTTTTCGAAAACCTGCTTTGAGATTTGATTTAACATTTTCTTCTAAGTTATTTAAAAGCTGTTTCAACAATCTGGGGAAGCATCCTTTCGGTACTGAAGCTTGCGTTCTACCATCTGTTTTTTTCCACCTATTAGATGACCTGATACATATTAGTGGTTATAATATGCTTGTCATATTTGGTGCACCACATTTAATCAAAGGAATGCGAGACAATTTTTAACAAAAAATAAAAAGAATACCAAGAAAATATTTTTGTGAACATGCAGAAACACGGTTATCACACAAACTTAATGACGAATATGTTATTCCTGATAGTAAAAAATGAAAGTATAAAATAATTGTAGTTTTATTTCAATTACATGTAATTTAATTTTTGTACATGTTATAAACTTATTCTTAATCAAATTCTTTTGGATTATTTGCAGGTTAAGATTTATGTTTGTATATTTAGTGAAACCGTGGTAGGAGCCTTTTATTATACCTCTGCATTTTGTAAGTTATTATATTAATTATTTCATTAGATTTATAGCACCATAAAACTGTAGTATTTATATGGTGAGTGGTGAGAAACAAAGACCCTGGTAATAAGGCATTGTTTTGTCTTAATGGGTGACAATGCATTTGCATTTTGATACTTAATCGAGGATTAATGTAGGTGACTGTGGGCCACAACATTCACTTACTATCAAGGGAAATGGGTGCTTGCCTGTCATGTTTAATTCTATAAAAAACACAAACTTCTTCTGTAACTTAAATATATTGTACAGAGTACTTAATTATTTTTCAAATTTAATAATATTTCAAATATTTATTACAGCTCATTATTCGGATGGATGGCCAGTGAGCAAAATACTGAAAAATGCAGTATTTTGCTCATTGGCCACCTGCAACTGCAGCAATAGTATCTTTTATGGATGACTTATTTGACAATGTGAATGGAAGTGAGATGATAAATAAAAAAGAACAGAGAAAGAATTAAGAATTGCTATTACAGAAAAATGTAGACACCATGCATTCAGGCATCAAGTTTTGTTAAAACTAGAAAATTTAAAATTTATGAATAAAAATTGTCATGTATATACAGTGCCCAGTATAAAGAATTGGATAAGTACCATAAAAAGATTTATAAATTTGTGGCAGATTTTGTCCAAGAAAAATATAAAGGTTGTGAAACCCTGCTATATACATTCCGATGCAATCTAATTTTTTTTCGGTCAAATAAGATCATATAATTTTAGGGACAATATAATCCAACTTGCCACAATTTCATAAATGCTTTTAAATCTTTATTAATTACAGGTTTCATTAAACTTCACCACACATCTTGTAATTATGGAGATGATGTTAGTGCACAATTATTAAAAATAAAGAGCATGTTTAAAGGACATGAAAGGGAAGTGAGTAACGAAAGTCGTGAAACTAGTGAATCTTATTTTAATACTTATACATTAATTCTAAATAGAAGGTTAGTTCTTTTCTCGCTCAAAAACTAAGTATAGCCATTCAGCGGGGAAACGCAGCCAGCGTTCTTGGCGCGATACCGCGGGGAGTAGGACTGTATGATAATTAAGCTACTAGTTTTAGTTCTTTTTTTTAAATTATAGTTTTAATAAGCTAAAATGGGATAAAAAAAACAGGTCTGATTCTGAATTTGTAAACAAAATTATTGTAAAGTTAAAATGAGTACTGTATTATAATTAAGTTATTAGTTTTGGTTTTCTTTAATTATATATTTTTTTTTAATATTGTATATGTATATTAATAAATTAATTATTAAATTTATAATCAAAATTATTGTAAAGTTAAAATGAGTACTGTATGATAATTAAGTTACTAGTTTTAGTTTTTTAATAATGTATATATTAATAAGTTAATTATTAAATTTGTAAACAAAATTATTGTAAGGTAAAAGTTAATAACTAATAAAAAAAATATTAAATTTCAACATTGTTTCATTAGTATTTACCTCGTTTTATTTTCAATATAATAAAATTAATTTTGCAAGTGGTTATTATTTGGGACGTCCTTTGCCTGGTATAGCTGCTTCAAATAAAAAAAGAAACGTCATATATCATTTTGCTACAACCAATCAGGATGCAGAATCGAAGTAGAGTAAGTTTAGTTCGTGAGTTGTTCGTCTGATTCGGGTAGAATGTAGAATCAACTAGTTAGTCTGTGCAGGTCTGTCAGTATAGGACCACAGTTGGCCTAAAGGTCTAGATGCCAGGCCATAAACTCCAAAAAAAAAAAAAATAGGACCACAGTATAGGACAATTACTATACTCTTTGAGGTCTGTGCAGCTGAGCTTGACACATAAAATATTTGAAATTATACCCAGTATTTTCTTCTATTCTCCCCGTCAGTTCTATTCACCCCGGTTTACGGTACATAATACATATTTTGTGTAAAAAAGAAAATTCTTCTGTACAATGCATCATACACCTCAAATAAGAATTAATGATACGTTATCCAAGAGAATTATAGTTTATTAAGTCATCATGGAGCCATTACAAGCAAAACTTGTATCTATGTGTCTTATATCCCAACATAAATTAGAAAAAATACTTTCTTTATGCGGCGATAAAAGTGATTTAATAATAGATTCGGCGTTGATTAAGCCCTTGGAGAGGATATGTGGTGTAACATGGTTAAGGTAAAAAGAAAAGTTATTGGAAGAAGTTGAAAATTTCTTTCTCTGCTTCATTATTTTTTGAATGAAACTTTATTTTTTACAGACAGCATGGAGTTGAAAAGATCTACAAAATGGATCCGCAACTTGGGCCAACAGTCAACATCATTAAAGTTTACTTTATACCAGCATGTATACAAAAATACAAGTGTGTTTTAGACCACATATCATCCCAACTTAGCCAAAAGCCATCACTAGCTGACTTAAATTGTTTCAATATTATTATTGTGCCAAAAGTCTTACATACTTATGACTCAATACTTGAGAGCAGAGGTATGCATGGTGTTGTGAAGTTACATTCTTTTTCATGGGAGCTAATGTCGCTGGATGATAGACTTCTTAGTTTAGAACTACCATTCCTGTTTAAACAACTGTATGTTGAGCAAAACCTTTCTCTACTGTCAAGCATTTCTATGTCTCTGTGGAGTTTATTCCATGTTACAGGTAGACCTAAATGTGTTATGTCATTAGGGAAACTGTCTTCAAGTGTTTTAGATATTTTAGAAATATATAATGAGACTTATTCTAGAGATTTTGTAAAGAACTACAGCTCTGATGAGATTGATACATTAGTTCTGATAGATAGAAATCAAGATTATGCTTCAAGTTTACTTACACCAGCAACTTACAGTGGTCTGCTAAGTGAAATTTTTAATATAAGCTGTGGACATTTGGATCTTAATGTCAAAGAAACAAAGTATAAAAAAGGTAAATTGAATTTTACGGCAGATGCTGAAGATACTTCCAAAAAGGTTACTATGACGTTGGACAGCTCAATCGATAATTTATATGGAGAAATTAAGCATAGACACTTCTCGGAGGTTCTTAGTGTGCTGAGTTCAAAAGCAAAGTTACTGAAAAATGAGGACATTAAAGCATTAGGCATTCAGGAAATAAAACACTTTGTAACAACTAAATTGCAGCAAGTTACTCTTTTTAAGCAGAATCTAGTCAATCATGTTTTAGCTTGTGAAACTATTATATCTGAGATGAACAATAAATTTGAAAATATAACATTTACAGAGAGCGAGATGTTAAATAACAGGAACAAGAAGTCTAATTATTCATTTGTTGATGAGAATTTTGGCACAGATATACACATGTATAATAGTCTCAGGTTAATGTGCTTGCTTAGTTTAACTCAAGGCCTGTCATATGATGAGTACAATACTCTTGTCAATAAGTATTTGTTAGCATTTGGCTACAAATTTTTGTACATATTTAACAATTTGATCAATGCCGGATTGTTAGTTCAACCATCTAGTCCTAAATTGTCATTAAACATTTCCAATTTAAGTGGCCTGAGTGACAGACTGCCGAGATGGCAAAATAGTTTTCAAAGTTTAGCTAGTAAACTAAAACAATTGCCCTCTCAAGCTGACAATTCTAAAACATCACCTAGTTATGTTTTTAACGGTGGTTACATACCTCTGATAGCAATAGTCTGTAATGCATTATTGACATCTGAATCTCTTTCGGAAGCTTTAACCAAACTGTCTGTTTTGAATGATTTGAAACTTGGTGGTTCAATTTTAGATAATACAAAGGAAGGTATGGAAACATTAAATGAAAAATTATCAAATTTAAAACTGCAAAACAGTGAACTGGATTTTGGATGTAGAGATGCAAAAACTTTACAGAAGTTGTTGAAAACTGATCCTAAATTAACATCAGCATTTTCATTAAAGACAAAATCTGTTTTAGTATATGTGATCGGTGGTGTCACATATGCTGAGGTTGCGGCGTGCAATGTTATACAGACAGCAACTGGCAGTAAAATATATGTGGCTAGCGACTGCATTGCGAGTGGATGTGATTTTATGGCTGCTAATACTTGAAATTCGTGAAAATAATATTTATTGAATGTTACAATCAATATTTGGCATTTCCTATTAAAACCATTTAATATTAATGGGAATTTTAAATCCAGTACCGCAGACCCAACAAGTGATAAAATTGTTTAAGAACTTTTAACATTGTAAACATTGTTAAATAATACTCAAGTTACTCTATATGTAAATGCTTTATTTTTAAGTATAATATGAATGTAAAACTATTTATTACAAATAAAACCAAAATATTTCATTATTAAAATATTATATTTTTATCTCATTTAAAATATCACAGTAAAAAGTTATACAGATACTTTTACTAATATTTACATTAAGTGCTGTACTCACTGTTTGCTACATCACTAACATGTTAATAAATTTTTATGATATAATATAAGGATTTCTATCATCATCTCATCATATCAAGCTCTCTTTGATCGGCTTGACTCACTGGCATTGTGAAGAGATGTTGCATCTCTTTGTGTATTTTATTACTTCTACTACAGGGAGTGCTCTGAGGAATTGTTCAGACTAATTCTAGCTGCTCAATTTCACCATTGTACATCACGACAAAACTCCATCCCTATCATTGGTATGTTTGGCGGTCCACCACTGTGCCATTTACAAGAAGAACTTCCTTGTAGAATTAACTATCACTAGCGAGTTTTCCGGATCAATACGACTTAGGAACCTTCAAGAAAAGAGCCTACTCTTTTTTAAAAGGCCAGCAACAAATCTGCGATTCCCCTGATGTTGCAGTTGTTCATGGGCGGCGGTAGTCAGCATCAGGTGAGCTGCATGATCGTTTGCACCTCATATAAAAAAATAATAGTACACTCTTTTATATTAAGTAAAAACAAAACTCTTTTCATCATTCATTATAAGAATCCATTATGGATAATGAAACCGGATGGTTGTTATTGCTTTATTGCACTAGTCTTTCAAAAATTAGAAATTTATGAGAGACTAGTGCAATTAGTTTTGGAGAAAATTAATAAAATTATTGCAATGATTTATCAGAAAGCTGACTTTAAGTGTTGTTCTACATCAGGATACAGAGGCTGGATTGACACACTGAGTTAGTTTAGTAGTCTGTAAATTTATTTGCGCCAATATTGGGCAAACTTGTGAAACTGTTCCACCAGCACAGCCATCACCGCGGTTACCGACATATCCAGTAGGTTCTGGAAGTAATGAACTGCTTCTTCATCGCCCAGGTCCAATCTGAACAATTAATAAGATATATTTTTATAGGCTATTAAATGCAAAAGTTAAACTTCGTGTATTTTTTGATCAACAAGACGTTCTAGAAGTAATTAAGTGACATGAGCACACAGTCCCCTGATTTTATGATGTAACTGTACCTACAGCTACCCTCAAAGAATTACAATAGAGATGCATTATTATCATACCCCTGTGAACTGTGATGAAATGCCTTGTTACAAGTAAAAAGGATTATTGTCATTACCATATTATTAAAAATAGGATGTTTTATACTAATATTTTACAAGGAGTATTGCTTGGCCACTTGAACAGACTTGTGCTACAGACATAATACACTCCAGCTTGGCGTGTATAGTGTATGCAGAGCATCAATACAAACCGTTTTGCGGTTTAATGGTGATGTACTGTAACTACTGTTGTAATCTGTTTTATGTATCCTTAAATAAAAAGTTATACGATTTTTTTTTATAAATTTCGACGTCTAAAATAATGATTGGGAAAAAAACAAATGCATTTTCAATCAATTAAAGAGAAATAGGATTATCCTTACCTCAGTTTATCTTGCACCTTTTTGACAGCTTTGTCTGGTTCTAGCGCAATATCTGGCACTGAGGCATCCACCATCAGCGAGAATAGGTTTAGCATTAAGTTGGCGTGTCTGAAGCAACAAATGTAAAGTTATAAAATCTTCATTATCATATGAAAGTTAACAGCTGGGTTTGCCTCGAAAGTAATGTGCCTTAATGGTTCAAAATGTATTTCGAAAGCACAGCTACTCCATACGCTTCACCAAACGCTATTTATTTATTTATTCTTTACCGTACACCAAAATACAGAAAACGAGAAGAGTTCAATCTAAAGTATAACATGTAAAACAGGCGGTCTTATCACTGAAAGTGATCTTTTCCAGACAATTTTTGCGTAAAGGATTGATGCAAACAATATTTAAAATAGAGGGGGGTGTACAAAAAACCCGGCCAAGTGCGAGTCGGACTCGCGCGTGAAGGGTTCCGTACTTAAAACATATGAATATATTTTTACAGTAGAACGAATAATGAGTATACACTATAGAGAGACAGTAATGTAGACAAATTTGGTACGAAAACAGACGTAACAAAGAACAATGGCAGACTTTCATACATAAAATTAGTTGAGAAGGAATGGTAGCGTCTATATATCAAAAATATCTTAAAATGTTAAGCGTCAGTCCCCTTAATAACTCTGTCAAAGGATTTTGTCCTGAGAAGGCGTCAAAAAGAAGATATTTAGATTTGAACCTTTTTAGGTTATATCTTATGTCGCTTGGAAAATGTCATGCTTCCTGTGGTTGTTTGATGTTAGCTTAATACATTCTCAACATAATGTACCTACCTACATAATTGAGAGTTTTTAGATTATTGTATCTCTATTATATATTTGCATACTATAAATGTATATTTCTGGCATGGCTCCAGGGCCTTTGTGTCATAGTGACTTTCTCAGAAGGGCTAGAAACCAGAGCCGTAAAGCCAGTAAAAAAAACTGACATTTTGTTTTAGCTAGTGTTGCCATAACATTAAATGGAATTGTTACATAGCACTATGATTGAGATAATGTATTGTAGTAGGCAGTTCTTTGTAAGAGACTTATTTTCAACCATATAACTTTTATTTTTATTATTACTGATAGTATAGTTATTACTAGAAATAACTTAATATAAAAATATTTTGTGTTTGTGTGTTGTGTTGGTAGCCTTACAAAGTGTATACGAAAATAGTATGAATATAGTAAATGGCAACACTTGAATAGAGTAAAATGATTTAAGTCTTTTGATATTCTCAAAAATGTTTGTTTCTTTCTGTGGCTTTCATTAAAATACCTTTTTATTTGAAAAATCATAGAAAAATAAAAAAAATAATTTTATATATAACTTATTTCTAGACGCAATAATTTTTGTCAACTATTTTTCTGCCATTCTTCTTTATTAAAATACGTGTTTACGACTCTATCGTATTGTTATAGGGGGTGAACGATTATCGTCGATAGATAAAAAATAATCTATGGTTTACTACTTGAGGCTTTGTAGAAGTGTTCGACATTTTTTTTATAGAATAAGGGTAACAAACGAACACACAGTCCACCTGTTGGTAAGAGGAAGTTGTCACCCATAGACATCTACATCTATCCTCGATTAAGAATCAATCAAAATGCAGATGCGTTGTCGGACCTGGTGAAAGATGGACTGCCTCGTTTCTAGTAAAAAGGGTCCCCGGTTCTTTACACTCACAATAGGAATCAGAGCAGCATCCAGCAACTATTTTAAGATGGTATTCTGTGTGAGCGTGGTCCTACCCCGGTCGAGTCGACCCATTCGTGCTACAGTCATAACATAGCTGCAGTATTGCTCTAGCACGTCAATAAGTAAGCGCACTCTGCCCATGGCTTTCACCATGTCGCAGTTAAGTGAATTAGTAAGTAAGATGAGGTGGGGCGAGGTTTGTGGTAAGCGTTACCTGCGCAAGTGCAGGAAGGCAGTGTAGCAGAGTTTGCGGAACTCGTGGAAGTGGTCCGAGTGAACTCCACCCATGGCCTCAACCATCTCGCGGCTGAGCTTCATGGGCGGCGGCAAGGGCTTGGGATCACGGCCCAGGATGTAGCCGAAGTCGATGTGGAACAACGCGCCACAGCGACGAAGCAACAGGTTGTCCAAATGACGGTCGCCAACGCCTACGAATTGAGAATTCATGAGGACAATATTAACAATTTTCCGAAGACCAAAGACTTCTATATTTACTACTACACTGGCAATTCAGAATAAACCACAGCAATAGCTGTGGATCGCGTGGGCGGATAGGTAACACGGTATTTACCGTTGTATTTTCATTTAAGACATTTACTAATTTTAGGCAAATATGAACTAATGTTATTAATAGATAATTAATAGAATCAGGCGTTACTTTGCGGATATACATTATATTAAAGTTGGTAAAAATTACCTCGCGGATATACGCTCGATAAAATCGATAGTGCACGCAATTGAGGGAGGGAGGGAGGTGCTCTTCAAACTAGGTAAGACACATCATTTTATTTTATCGAGCGACGTACGCGAGGTAATTTTTACCAACTTTAACGAAATAATGTTACATACTTATGTGAAATAAACTTCAAATCACGTGGAAAACGTGCGCACATAAATAATGACAGCGTTTTCTTAGTCTCGAAACAAACTAGTCTAGTAACAAAATCAGTGTTAGATTTGTCGAAAACAACGATCGCGGTTTAATATTGATTAGCGCCGATTACAAAACAAAGAACTGGTATTAACTAACTTGGTGCACAATTTATTAAATTCGCAGAGCCTTCCAGTCCAGTCCCAGCCAGCCAGTCTTGTAGTACATAGAAGTCATTGGCCAGCGCACCGGTAGCAATTATTACAAAATTTTATATCAGTAGTAATTTGAAACTAATGATAGTATGCCATTAATTGTCACGGAGTGAAATTTACTGAGGTAAATTTGTATGAATTGACAGTCAGCTCATTTCTTTGTGTGGGTGTCATAAAATCTTCGAAAGATGGCGATGTGTGTGTGTGTGTGTGTGTGCGTGCGTGTCTTTGTGTGTGCGTACGTGCGTGCGTGCGCTCGGGTGTGTGCGTGTGTGTGTGTGTGCAGGTTTGTGCGTGTACCGAGCAGGTAGGTGATGACGCAGTAGCCGGCGCAGCTGCGCACGTAGGTGTCCATGGCTTCGGGCCGGATGCCGTAGGGCGCGCCTTCGGCCGCGTTGTGACGGCGCAAGAAGCTCTGTATGCTGCCTTCTGCAGCCAGCGCCTCCGCCACCGTCACCGACTCGATGAACTGCAGGAAGCCATGCCGCGAGCTCGTCGCCAACACCTTATACGGGGTCAGCTTCAGATCCAGGTTCTCCCTGCAATTAATACTTTGGCTGTCGAAGGAAAGATTTCTTGCTATGCAAGGAGTTCCGCCCGGGAAGCGGTTCACGCTTTGTGTGCACATAGTAATACAAAGCATGTCTTTATAAGCAGTCATTCGGAAACTTCGAAAGTGTGATTTAGGTTTTCAGTCAATGTTCGTTTAATATTTGCCATTGTGGCGTGATTACAGCGCCGCGAGGATACAATCGGTAGTTCTATCTAAAGTTTCAGTGGAAAGCGTTCGGCATGCTGGAGAGTTTCACGTTCACGTTGAATGGAAGCCGCTCAAAATGTATACCGACATTGCCATCTGTTTATTCAACGTCTAGACACAAACGATGATGATGTGCAATAATATAGATAAAATATATTAGACATCAGTCCATTTTAGACTCATTTGCAAACAAGAAATAACACATTAAAATCTTTAATATACCACCATTTTCTTATCCTAACATTGTCATACGATTTCGAGTGTTCAAAATTTCAAGCTCATCGGGTTTGTTTAAAAACAATTACTACGACTACTTGACCGGGACAGACACACGAAAGCGAATTAACAAAAACGTAGTAAAATACTCTGCGACGAAAGAATTTGAGCTAGAAATGTTAAAAATGAACAAAATTATGGTGCATCTCATCTATGTTTTCGCAAAACGGATTTATTATTTTAAACAATTGAAGGAGAAAGTGAGTGACTCCTGTGTCGTAGTGACCACGAAGTGGCCCTATGCCTCTGCACATGAACACACCACTTCTCTACCTGTCCTTGGCAAACTTTCACCAGGTATCGTCAGCTTAAAGCGAGCGCAGGTCAGCTACTACCCGATCGCTTCAGTGATATTTGTGTCAACTAACTGGAAGTCGGCCAGATATGATCTCTTGATTCACCGGTCCTCTCCAATCCATTCGAAGTAACCGAGACACCGGAAGCGATATGCTATGATTACTCTTATAATGGTTTTCTAGGTAGCTTTCAAGGAATTTTGTATGTGTAATTCGATTTCCTCCTGTCCGGTGGTTTTTATAATAGTGTAACCCAGATATTTAATTATGGCCACTCCATTATACTTCGTATCTCCCGCACATAGATCTTGGCGTTGTTTTTCTAGCGCTTAATATGGAAATACTCTGTTTTGTCGAAGATTATCATGAGTCCAAACATTCTTACTTCCTCTTCTAAGATACTAGTGGCTTATGCAATCTCTCCACGGTTTCCCTCTAACAGAGCAAAATCGTTAGCATATCCTACCACCCTATGTCTTTATTGGCATTTAGTTCCATTCTCCAATCTAGAACAAGGACCTTCCGCATTTTGCAGTTTTAGTCTGGTAATAACCGCAAGTTCATCTGTGACCTCTCCGCATGTCCTTACTCTTATATGGTTACTCTTGCAGGTGGAAACTTCTGTGTTATCAAGGATTTTTCGGGATTTGGAACTACTTTAAGATGTTATAAATAGCGTCTCTATCAAAACTATCATAAGCCTGCTTAAAGTCTACGAAAACCGCAAGGGTACTGTGCGTATTTCCAGTTTTTTCTATGAGTGCAATTTTTTTAAAGACTTTATTTTTCAGGTGATTTCGGCGGAACCCACAATGATAACAGTATTTTTTTAACCGTTTTTTCTCAACAGTTTTTTAACAGTCTTTTTTGTTTACTTGTTTATGACTAGATTGTAATGTTTTTAAATAGTTCGATAATGCTGATCTCTTGTCTACTTAAATTGTTTAAAGTTTCCTTTTTCTTTTAGTTTATATTAGAGTTTAAGTAATTCCAACTAATGTCATTTTGTAATATTGCACATTTATGTACTAAGTCCTTCTTCACATCTCTCATTTTTGTAATTTAATATCTGAGGCTGGTGGTGTTGGCTTCACTAAATTTAAATTTTAGGATTAACATTAGTTATTAATCCTCTGTTGAAGTTGTTTACTGGAATAAAAGAAAAAAAAAATGATAATCGCTCAGGATTCGTTCCACGTAGCTCCAACCTTTTAAAAGTATTTTCATATGTACTCCATATGAAAACCTTTAATACACCGTGGGTAACAGAGCTATACCGCGATAGTTAATACATTTCTTTTTACTGTCTTTTCTGCAAATTGGACAGATGACTGCTGTATTCCAATCTATTGGTCGTCTCCCTCTAACCCATATCTCAACCAAAAGTTCATACAGCTAACATTGTACTACTCCTTCACTGTACTTTAACAAGTCTGACGGAACGCCATCCATGCTGGGGGATTTATTAATTTTGAGCCTCATAATTGCTGATCAAACCTCTTGAAATGTCAGCGGTAGCATCTCATTATTGTTGTCTTCTATTGACCGGTTAATTGATACTTCGTTACGTAGACAATTTAATAGATTTACTTTCTTCGTATTTCTCCTTCCATTGGCTATTCTGTTCCTCTAAAATCTTATGATGTCTTCTTTCTTCTATCTTATCCTCACATTCTTTGTTCCACTATTTCCTCCGTATTTACTTGTACTTTCCGAACTCTTTTATTCCTGCATATTTCAAATTACTCTTCATAATGTCCCATACTTGATTTATATCTTCGTCAACTATTGAATTTTTTTATAGGGTCGGTGACAATTGTTTGTTCTCATGACCTCAACCTCATGATAAAAGGTTGTTGTAACCCATACACATCTCATATATACCCATACATATCCTCAAAAAATAATCAAAATGCAGATGCGTTGTCACCCACGACGACTAAGATGGAAAGCCTCTTTTCCACTAAAAAGGGTCTCCGGTTCTCTACACTCACACAATACGAAAAAAAGTAGTATTAAGCTGCTATTTTAAGTTGGTATTCTGTGAGAGCGTGGTCCTTCCCCGCTCGAGCCGACCCATTCGTGCTACAACTATACTACTAATATAGCTGCAACATGGCTCTACCGCGTATAATATTTGAATGTACTGTTTAGTTCTAACTGGAAAGTTTCTCTAATTTCTTCAATCTTTAGTCTCTCTACATTAATTCTTTCTTCTGCACTTTTTACTGTTTTCCTAAAGGTTTTTATTCTATATTTAAACTTTAATATTAAATAATGATCACTATCACAGTCTGCCTCTCTAAAAGCCATGTATATTTCCACATCAACGATCTGGTTAACGGTTTGATAGAAAAAGTTTTGAGGGTAATACCTACTCAGTGGAACTCCTAGATAAAAAGGATAATTCTTAAATATACTATGCTCATGTAAAATGTTATGCACACTTAAATTTTTATGCACACAGCCTGTCGAAATCTTTATTTCTTCAGCAATAAAACATAGCGTGACACGACGAACTCCTTAAACAATTTTTTTCGATTTTTTGCAATTTCTTCGGCCACTGCTATCGTATTGCGTCCCGAGCGAGGGTCATCTTTGGTTGATTTTTATCGGATGTATCATCGGTACGGAAGGTCCATCCAAGCGTCGCTTTATTGTCTCAGTGTGCTAGTGTAGATGAAACCCGCGCTTGCGTGCGTGCGTTGCGAGATGCTTGTATGAAGCGTCCACACTATTATTCTCTTTACTACAACAAACAGCATTACATTTGTTTATTTTATCTTTCTTTGGTTATATGGACTCGTACGGATATACATTTGCCAGTGTCCTACTACTTTTTCACAATATGCCGATGCGACAAATTGAAGAACTTCTGAGATTTTGAAGACAACTTAATTCAAAGGATCGTCGATGACGACAGTAAAATAACTTGAGACATCGGAGCACTTATTTCGCCGATTCCACTTATAGATTACACGCACAGACACATAGAACACAAAATCGCATCTCTTTTATGTATCAAAAATCAAAATTCACTTCAAACCATTATTTAAATGATTTAAATGAGCAACAATCCGCCGGCGATCAAGTTCCCGCCAAAAATCCCCAGTTATTTATTTATTTAGGTACCATATTGACGATTTTACAGCTTTACCAGCCAGTATTTACTTTTCAAATTACAAAAAGTTTGTATCGCTTTCTCACTTTTTAACGGCCCCAGTGTTTAACAAAATAAAGCGTAAATATTCATGTCGATATCCATGTCGGTCTCAGTAGGACGTGAATATTTACGCAAGAAATACAGGATGTTCCGTGAAATACGGACGTTTTGTAAAAGACGGTTAACAACGCTAGCCGATACTCCACACGCTTCTCCAAATCTCTACGGAGGAGTTAGGCCTGTTTCTTTTTTTCACCAGAACCGTTAAAACCCACGGCTGGACAAGGGCCTCTCTCGTTCTAGGATGGATTTTTCTTATTCATCACGCTTGGTGACGAATTGACATCGACGCACCAGATGTCTCTCTTTATATCTGTCTTTCACTTTGCTTCTGTTACCCGTTACTGGTTAGGGTATTTTATATTTGGTGTAAACAAGAAGGCTATAACGTAATTTATTGGAAATTATAAGATTTTTATGGCATTTCATATAGTCGCCTCTACCATCACCCATGGAACGAAACGGACTGATGACTCTTACGCTGTCACCATACAGCATTTCATAACGCTCCTTTAGTAATAATGTCCTCGAGACAGGGAGCCCAGTCTCTACGGAGACTAGCCATCTGCGCAGTACAGGATTATAGTGTCGGAGTGTGTACGCAAGCACAGGTGCACTCTTTATTATAGTCGCCTCTACCATCACCCATGGAACGAAACGGACTGATGACTCTTACGCTGTCACCATACAGCATTTCATAACGCTCCTTTAGTAATAATGTCCTCGAGACAGGGAGCCCAGTCTCTACGGAGACTAGCCATCTGCGCAGTACAGGATTATAGTGTCGGAGTGTGTACGCAAGCACAGGTGCACTCTTTATTATCCCTCACTCTCATAGTCCGATGTGACAGCAATCCGACACGACCTGAGAGAGTGAAAGAGAGGGAAGGCGAAGGAATACAGTACACGAAGACATTTAGATTCTAATAATATATTTGGAAGTAATTTGAAGTAAAGACTAGAAATGAGTTGGGCGGTGACTCGAACTTTAGGCCTAGTCAGTTTGAATAGCCTATCATGTAGACAATGTCATGGGGGTCATGGTTAAATAGGGGCAAAAAGTTCTCATTGCACTTCTAGGGGGTCAAAATGGCCAAAAACCAAAAAATTGGGGGGGTGGCTCGAATTATAAGCATAGTCAGTTTGAATAGCCTATCATGTAGAGGATCTCATGGGGGTCATGGTTGAATAGGGGCAAAGAGTTTTCATTACACTCCTAGGGGGTCAAAATGGCCAAAAACCAAAAAAATTAAAATTCTTATTTCGGCTATAACTCCGCCTCTTTCGGAGGTTCTTACACAGTCTTTACTTCCCGCATCCCACTAGTTAGTGATAGAAAGAAAGAAGATTATGGCAAACCCTTCTCGGAACGGCACAGATTTAAGTCTAGCATTGAATGACCTCATTAAGAAGAGAAGAAACAGTTGAAATAACAAAAAAAAATATAATTGATAAACAAATGAAGTTAAATGAAACTAACTTAAAATCAACAGGCCTAATGACCTATACCTAAGGCTTGAACAGTGCACGAACGTATACTAATTTAAAAAAAATATGATTCATCTACGCACGTACCTCCGCAACAGTTTATCCATCAACGTGATCATCTGCAATATCAACTGGTCCTGTCTTAAATCGTCGCCATGTTTGAATATCGCCTCGTACTCCATGCCCTCGGTGGTCAGGAAGGTCAATTTCGACGGCATCAAAGCCGACTTGAACAGGCTCGCCTTCTTGGCGACAATGCCTTTAATGGTCACGTTGGGGTCCAGAGGGAACGGCATCGGTTCGAAATTCGTGAAGTTGAACTTGAATGCGTCCGGATCGGCGAGCAGTTGTTGCAGGCGCTCGGCCTTCTTGTTACGGTTACCGCTTTCACGTGCGACCGTTTTAACTAGCTTCACTAGCTTGTCTATGAACACCTGCTGTCTGGCCAGGAAGGAACGGGTTCGTTGGTGGTCTGCATTGCCTGGTTGTAAAATTTTTTTTTTATAGAATAAGGGTGACAAACGACCACACAGTCCACCTGATAGTAAGTGGATGCTGTGGCCCATAGACATCTGCACCTATCCTTAATTAAGAATCAAAATGCAGACGCGTATTCACACCTGAGGACTAAGATAGAATGTCTGGTTTTAGTAAAAAGGTTTTCCGGTTTTCTAGACTCACGGTATTTTGTGGTCCTTACCCGGTCGAGTGAATCCGTTCGTGCTACAACTATAATATAGCTGCAGTATGAACTACCCACGTATAAATTTAAAGTACTACCCAATAAAAAAAAATATCGTCCTCCCCTGGGTCTCGTAAGAGGAAGGAAAATGAAACAGGAGATAACTCAGAATTATAAAAAAAAAACTGCAGTTACCAATCCACCTGCCAAGCGTGGCAACTATGGTAAAAGCCCCTCTACGAGGCAATCTATGGCGGAGGCCTATGTTCAGCAATGGACTTTTATAGGCTGTAATAGAATAGATGGATTAATTGAAAGAGCCATGTAACACAACCGTATTACGGTTGCAAAACGAATATGTCAGTTCAACAGAATGCTAGCGTAAACAGTCTTTAAGGTTAATGTAGTGTTGGGCGCCACTATTAATGTCTTGTTCATAGCAACACTACTTACCATTAGCGCCCTCTAGTATCGAGTAGCAGAACTAGGAGAGTCAAGATCCTTCTAGAAATTTTGGGACCGATACGTACTGGAACATACTAGATGTTTCTACAGTAGAAGGTTCTGGAAACTATTTGAGGCCCTATATAAAGCCGGTATAGACCACGACCGAGTCAGTGTTGAATTGGGGATATAAGCGAATACTTCGAAGCGATACAACTGCGAACTAATGTGATCAGTAGAACAATTGTGTTTTATTATTAGGTGATCTTAAGTTGTAATTAGTGTTCTGTAATTAAAGTGTCAATTTTGGTATTTCACTCGGCAGTTTTAGTTGTCTCGAACCCCAAGCTCGTAACAGTAGTAATTGAAAAAACCCGGCTACGTAAAAAAAGTTTACTGAAAAAAGAAAAAAAATCTACCCTGTGTCACTTCCACAACTAAGACGAATTCAACGATACCCATATATTAAAATCCATTAAATTATGCTACAGAACGTGCGAAAAAGATTTACGTATATACATACATACTCTCGAATACATTACCTTCATTCTGGGACAGTCAGTTATATAGAAACATAATGCTACTTCGTATTATGGGGTGACGAGATCTGGAGACGGGTTTTATTAGTAACAAGGCTTTCCATCTTAATCTTTAGAAATAGTAACGCATTTGCCGTTTCATTATTAATCGTTAAAGAGCAACAGCATCCACTTTTTTTTCATAGGATAGTGTAACAAACGAGCACACAGTCCACCTGATGGTAAGTGGTTGCTGTGGCCCATAGACATCTACATCTATCTTCGATTAAGAATCAAAACGCAGATGCGTTGTCACGCGTGAGGATTAAGATGGAATGCCTCGTTTCCAGTAGAAAGGGTCTCCGGTTCTCTACATTCACCATAAGAAAACACAGCAGCATTAAGCTGCTATTTTACGCTGGTATTCTGTGAGAGCGTGGTCCTTCCCCGGTCCAGCCGACCCATTCATGCTACAGCCATAATATAGCTGCAGCATGACTCTACCACGTATAAAACTTAGTATTAAGTGAGCATATTAATGCATAACTTCAGATTTAAAGGGTCTAAATGTTTTAATATCGAAGGAGAAACAACAGAAAGGTTTTTAATAAAAATGAATCGTTCAAAATGGTCAATGGATTCTTTTGACCGTATAGTGTCGGTGTAAGAGGAAAACAAACCAGGAGATGGGCAGCAGTGTCTTTCTAATAACAATTCAAATATAAAAAACTACGGTTGTCAACCCCTTCTATGAGATCTCATAGAGAACAGGAACGTAGCATAGAGCAAGTTAGCTAATTTAATGTACATAATATTTAATACATAATATAACCATTAAAAATGATAACTTTGCGTAAGTTCTTAATGATTTAATTTACAAGTACCAAGTTATTTCCAGCGATTGCTTGCGAGTCGACTTATGTGGCTCCGACATAACATCGGCGTGACAGTAGGTAACTTTATTACATTATGCTAAGTCGGTGTTTTTTTGTTAATGTAATAAAAAATATTTTTTTTTGTAGTTTGTGAAATTGTATGCATCCCCCCACGAGATGGAGTGACGACCTGGTAAGACATGCAGGAAGTCGATGGATGCAGGTGGCTCAGGACCGTGTTTTGTGGCATTCTTTGGGGGAGGCCTATGTTCAGCAGTGGACTTGTGAAGGGCTGTAATGATGATGATGATGATGAAGTTGCAGTAAATAAATATGTTCTTCCTTCCTTTCTATAAGGTAATCTATGGATGAGACCTAATATTAGCAGTGGAGTTTTGATAGGCTGTAGTGGTGGTGGCAAAGTAGAAATCATATAACAATAGTAAAAAAAAAATTGAATTCAGGGTAAGAAAGAGACCTTTGGCCAGCTTCTGCGAGAAGGTCTTCATGACGCTGAGGTACATGTGCCTGGGCGGCTGGCGGGGAGCGTCCGTGTCCTCGCACTCGATGAGCAGGTACCAGTACAGGTAGTTGGCCACCACGCTGTTGTTGCAGGCCCGCTCGATCAGGAACCCCGCCAGGGTCAAGCTTTCCTCGCTCGCCTCCTCCACCGTACTATATTCGTAGTGGAAACTTCTTTAGAATTGTTGTGATTTGAAACTCCATGAAGCGAAAAAGCACCAAACATACCGTGATGTAAGTGTCTACAGGCCACACAATAAATACGCCAACTGCTTTCCACAAGTTGTTGTAACTGTCTTACTTGAAATAATGTGAAACCTCGTTAAATTAAAGTACAATCTTGGGTGTTTCATTCTCAAGTCCATTGAAATTCTTTTATTTTTATCAAAATAAACATTTCTAAAGAAATTGTATGAGAATATAGAGTAATGACGTCACAGTTTTTGCAGTCAAATAATCGCCTTATGTATTTGTATATTTAAAAAAATGAAAATCTACCAAATTTACATCACATCATTTTTATTCATTACCTAACCTAAACATTTATTTCAAACGTGGTAGAGCCATGCTACAGCTATATTAATTGCTTACTCGTAGCACGAATGGGTCGGCTCGACCGGGGAAGGACCACGCTCTCACAGAATACCTGCGTAAAATAACAGCTTAATGCTGCTGTTTCGTATGGTGAGTGTAGAGAACCTTTTTATTGGAAAAGAGGCATTCCATCTTAGTCCTCACGGCTGACAACGCATCTGCATTTTAATTCGCAAACGAGGATAAATGTAGATGTCTATGGGCCGCAGCAACTACTTACCATCAGGTGGACTGTGTGCTCGTTTGTCTCCCTTATCCTATAAAAAAAAAATATCTTATGTAAGTATTTATTCATAGTGATTTGACGAAAGTAAAGGATCTTAGTAAAGAAATCTATCTAAACTGTCTATTTTTCGACAAAATCTTCTGATAAATGATAGCGGGTGAAGTACTCCAAACGCAACTTGAATATCATGTTATTGAAAAATTCTGTATTGTGGATGTCATACCACTATGAATAGACCGTACAATGTAATACTGCAAAGGGCGGTAGGTAAGAATTTGACAAGGCTTATAGACTGATTTCAGTCTATAACTAATAATAATAAGCAATCATGATTTTTTTTGAAATACGTACTTGAAGGCATCTTCGTGGGCCGCTGGTGACTCTTCAGTCGTGGTTTCGATCGACTGTCTACTCGTTATCGACGCTGTCATTTCACTACTTGTGATTACTGTGTACAAAAATAAGTTATTGTATATTTCGAAGAAGAATAGGATCTGAATCCTAGTCCTATATTATTACCTGATGCGGATAGCAAGCTAGCCTGGCTGCCTCTGTGTGTGCTCTGCATGAGCTTCCCTTCGGAATCAGAAAATATCGGCGCGTCCTTCCCGCAGACACGCGCATATTCTGAAAATACAACAAAATTTTTTTTTGTAGGCGCGATTCAGTCCACCCTGACCATTTATTTTTATTTTATTTTAATTTTAATTATAATATATTTTTATTTTATTTCTTTATACACTTTATTGTACTAAAGGTAAGGAGGTCGTAATGCCATATGACATTTTTTACCAGTCTACCGGAAAGTTAGTGGGAGAAGTGTGTACTGCAGTGGACTGGGGTGAAAAACCTAAAATTGATAAACCTAAAATTCACACACACACACACACACCTCAAATCATTTTTCAAGAGATTTTAGCTGTTTATGGGAACTCCGCTTCTGGTAAAACCATGATTTATAAATGGCACGCCTTTTTCAAACAAGGGAGGGACTCCATTGAAGGCGACCCCCGACCTTGACGGCCGATTGAGCCTACTACGCCAGAAATAATCGACAAAGTTGAAAAACTTGTATCGAAAGATGCCCGGCTAAAGAAAAAACAACTTACAACATTAGTTGGAGTATCAGAAACAACCATTTTAAACATTCTACATCAACACCTTGGTATGACTAAAGTCCGTGCAAGATGGGTTCCGAGAATGCTTTTTGCGCATCAAAAACATGAAAGCGTGTCGAAAGTTGTCGCAAGTTTTTGGATCGTTGTGGAGAGCAAAGGGAGGAAGTTATGGCCCGAATTGTAACTGGCGATGAAACTTGGGTTCACCATTGTGAACCTGAGTCAAAGCAAAATCGACGCAGTGGCATAAAAAGGCACATCCCCTCATTAAGTAGTATAAGGGTGTCCCAATCGGCCGGAATGATCATGGCGACGATCTTTTAGGATACCGAAAATATCCTTTTGATTGATTATAAGGAACGTGGTGTTTCTATAATGGGAGAATACTACGCTTTTTTACTAGATCAATTTAAAGAAAGTAAAAGGCGTGCTCCTTTTGCACGACAATGCGCCCGTGCAAACAAGCCATGTTGCGACGGCTGCCATTCACCGATGCAGTTTTAAACAACTGCGCAACCCACCACACAGCCCAGAACTGGCCCCAAGCGACTATTATTTGTTTCCAAAAATGGAGAAAGAACTGCGTGGGAAAAAAAATTGGCGATGATGATGAAGTAAAGTCGGCAATTTCGGCTTATTTTGACGCCCAAGACAAATCTTTTTTTTAGACGGTATTTATATATATATATACACACAAATGCAAATATCCGACACCTAGTCGGACTATTTGTCCCAGGTAAACATACTCGTCAACAACTTCGATCTTAGTGCTCGCAACAACTACCGGTATAGGTGTGACATGGACATTAAACATGATTTTTGTTTTGTCCACGTTCATCTGAAGACCTCCCGTTGGGGGACACTATTGAGGTATTTGAGCATAGTGCTTAGGTCCTCCAGCGATTCTGTCATAATGACTATATCGTCGGCAAATCGAAGGTGAGTGATGTACTCGCCATTGATGTTAATATCGCATCCTTTCCAGCCCAGAAGCTTGAAAACGTCTTTCAATGCAGCGGTGAAGAGTTTCGGGGATATAACGTCACCCTGTCTTACACCTCTGCAGTTGGATAGGTTTCGTACTCTGATTCTGTACTCGGAGAGCCATCGTAGCTCTATTGTACAAACACTTCAACACTTCGATATACCGCCCAAATTTCGACGGAATCAAAGGCTTTCTCATAGTCCACATACGGCAGACAGTGGCAAATTGTACTCCTCGGACTTCTGTACAATTTACCGAAGGGTATGTATGTGGTCTATGGTGCTAAAGCCTTTTCGGAAACCGGCTTGTTCGGGAGGCTGGATGGAAGTCGTCAAGTCTGCGTGCGAGACGATTCGTAATGACTCTCGAACAGACGCGGCTCAGAAGAACAGCACAGCACGTAGACGCGACTCAGAAGAGAAATCGGTCTGTAGTTCTTCAAGAGAGCGTTGTCGCCTTTCTTGAAGAACAAGGCCACCGCACTTCTGCTTCACGCCTCCGGAGTATTGCCACCATAGATAACGGAATTAAAGAGTTTCTGAAGGACTTCAATTACCGGTTTTCCACCCGCTTTCAAAAGCTCTGCTGTAATTCCATCCTCGCCCGGAGACTTTCCGTTTTTAAGGTGCTGGAGAGCCTTTCATATAGGTAATTTTTATCGCAAAAATAATTGAAACTACGTAATTTACAGTCACACTAAACCTCTACTGTCAAAACAACCTGAAATGGACCGTAACTCAAGGCAATAAGACTTTTAAAAGTGCAGTTTTATTTGTATTAATACAAATTCCGTCATTCAATACAAAATAAAGAAAATTGAACCTTATTTCAAGTAAGTTAAAGTCTTTACAAATACAGAGTTTGGAGTGCCTTATAAAGGTCGCGGCGGCCAGGCCATTGTCCTCCCAGATCAGCTGATTTGACGCCTCTTGACTTTTTTTTATCGGGACGTATTAAATCATTAGTTTATTTTAGTGAGACAACAAGTGCCTAGGACCCAAAAATAGTAATTCTATGAGTGAAAGCTTTTAGAATAGTGAAAAATGACACTGAATTGCTTTCTAAATTATTTTCTTTCGTTTTTAAAACGTAACCTCCACACTAGGATTTTCTCTTGTATTATGGGGGCAGTGTACGAACATAAGTTGCACAAGGACAAACATCCAGACCCGGAACAATTATTTGTAGGCCATACAAATATTGTTCCGTGCGGGATTCAAACCCGCGGCCCTTAGCGCTGCAACTCAATTGCTAAGCCACTGCGCCACGGAGCCGTGGTGGACATTTTGAAAATGTATTAAAATACAAAGTTGCATGAGAGTTTAGGCTATCAGTAAGTTAAATATTTCATTCTTGAAATTATTGTAATCTTGATGCACATCTTTTAAACACGCCGTCATTGAATTATGTTGTCGTATTGCCTCTTAGTCTTAGCAGTCCATTATTATTTACAATTACAATTAAAATGTTATGCAAATTCATTACATTTTGTAACGAATATTGCCTATTGACATTGTATCATAATCAATAAACAAAATTATTCAGAGTCGAAAGTCCAAAGCCTGAAAAGTGTGATTGAAAGATGCAATCAAATGTTTACTAGACTTAAATAAACAATTCAATGCACGGAGTTCTGATATCTGTTAATGTTCATAGGTAGGTATTTCTTTAACGTAACCAATCATGTATTGTCGGCGTTTTTTGGCACTAATACCTACCTACAGTTGTGTCAAGCGGCGGCGGCGTTAATTCGTCTCGAACGCGAGCAAATGTCTACAAGATTAGCAAGACCTATACCTAGCGTTCGTGGTTTTGTACGGTGACTACAACATTCTTCCGGAATTAGTATAACCGATTTAATAAATAATCAATGCATAAACATGTTTAACTATGAATTCAGTGTATGTATTATGATTATAACATAATATACTAATTGGGGTGTCTGAGGATGTGCGTTAATTACTTTAGATGTTTATATATATAAGATCCTGCGTTGTGGGTTACAATTTTTTTTTCACAATTGATCTATCAATAAATTCTACTAATTTGCAGTAAACTTTCCATAATAAAAAAAAAAACAAGTTTTGAAATAAATAAATCAACCAAATAAAAACTATCAAAATTCAAATCATACGCACCCTACTTTACAAGCGAAAATAATATCAATGAAATTGTAACGCGATGCTATACATTCGTTACCCCCACACTAGTATTTTCTCCTGTATCTACTCATTGCTAAGCCACTGCGCACTGGAGCCGTCATACATTGGACACTCGACGCACCCGCGGTAGGCCTCTTTGATATCCTTTGGCAGGCGCAAGTGCCGCCCGCGCACTCGCCTGCGCCCCGCGCTCTCATTTCAGTTTGCAGTCACCCACAATTAGGCACGGCGGGATGTCGTATTATGTCTCCGCGTGTGTATTGCTTTCCCGCTGATAGTAGTTATCGTAAATATGTACCAATACTCTAAGAGTATGAGGCAGGGGCCGGCCACCCTTGTCTATATTGGACTTCTTCCAACGACACCTGAGAAGGAGCACCCGGCAAGCCACTCATGCGTTTGGCGTAAATCAGTATGTGGTATGAAAGCTACTTCATTCAATGAATATGCATCCATAACATTTCTCACGCGTGCAAGCTTTGCATGCGCCTGACCACACAAGGAGTTTTGTCGTTGGCTGCAGGACCATGCGCAGGCTAACATTTTGTGGAGCAACGAGTCGATATTTACCCGCATTGGAATTTACAATATACACAATGAGCATAGGTGGAGTTTCCAAAACTAATATAAAATCAAAGAACATGCTCATCAAGTTCGTTTCAGTGTTAACGTCTGAGCGGCGATCATTAACGACCATATCATTGGTCCAATATGAATTGAAGGTCGATTGATGGGAGTAAGGTCTGCAAATGATACGTTCCGTCATCGACACAATATTGTAAAATGTTCCTTTGAGCAATCTGCAAGGAATGTACTTCCAGCACGACGGATATCTAGCTCATTACGAACGATCTGTACACGCATATCTGGACAGCCAATTTCGTGATAGATTGATAGATCGCAGTGGACCTGTGAACTGTCGGGCGAGATCACCAGACCTAACACCTCTAGATTTTAATTGGAGGTCGAACTAAAACAAATGCCATAAGGTGAATTGTTTTTATGTATTTTTTTGGATATTCGGAAATCTTGCCAATCAGTTATATTTTACAAATACTTTCGAGAATAGCTTCTATTCCACTTATACAAAACACCATATAATTTTCCAGACGGTAAAAAAGTAACCTAATATATATATATATGATAATGAGGCATTTCTATTTGGTAAATTATTGTAAGTTATAATTTTGTTTACAAAATAGAAAATTATTTACCATGTATCATATAGCCATGACGCCTGTAATTCCATAGGGTATAAACAGGGTTCAAAGACCAGAAAGAGATGAGATGAAAAATTGTGTGAAAGAAGTGACAGCTGACTAGTCCTTCGCCTACATAAACTCAATATAACCATTCGTCGCCTTTTACGAAATATTAGGCAAGTATCAGAGTTGGCACTTTCTTTTTTAATAACTCTTACATAAACATGGGACCTGTAAGTCCTAGACTAACATCGGACTGATAGATAACTATTTATTATTTATTAAGCATTATTTTTCATTGTTTAGATCGTCTTTGCTTTATGTGTCTGTACCGTTATGAATTTCATTGAAATCTTCGTACTTCAGAGCTTGTACAAGTTGCAACAGGTAGAGCAGTAAATCCTCGTCCGGCGCCTGTTTCAGCCGTGAGATAGCGTACCTGTTCATGACAAAGATTAATTCTTTACAAATAGCGGAAAAAATCTCTAATATGAAAGAGATGTAATTACGAAATCGCTCATCAGAAAAAGCGTGAAACTGTAACCAATCACTGATTTGCTATGGGTGACGATTATGTGAGAATAACCCATCTTCAATACTGTAGATATTGATTTGACTCTTCTTAGAATTACAACCTCAACTGCAGAAGAGCAGGGAGGGGGGGGCGGCGGGTCACCACCCCTGTTGATCTGAATCCAAATTTCACAGGCCCCTCTCGCCAAGCTATGCTGAGCGTGGACAAACTCTTCAACGTTATTCATACATCCTACCGTATAGTAGCGGTGAAAGAATATCCACTACTCCATATAGTCCCGTGGGTGCCGTAAGAGGAGATGCTATCTTTGGATGAGGCTTTTTAGCAGTGAAATTTTATAGGCTGTAACGGAATGGAACGGGTTCATGCCAGCTGGCATATTCTTGGAAAGGTCCGTTTTCAGTAGTTAATAAAAGACTGATAAAGAAGAAAAGAATCAAGAATATTACATTGTTGAGATTTAAAGCCATTCGGCCATATGACCATGACGCAGGTTACCTCCTAACTGCTGGATGCGTGAACTTGGGCGTTAATAGTTCCAGAGCATCTTCCACGTCCATTGGTGCCCATTGCTTCATCATCGCCAATGCTTGCCGCACTTCCGCTAAAATATATCATGTTTATTATGAGACATAATATATTAAAACAAAAGTAAATATAAAAATAAAAGCAATTATAATGTCAACTAAAATTAATATAAAACTCACCGGGCCGGTTCCAGTTTACGCATTCTAAGAACTTGGTCAGCGCACGACGGTGCGACGAAAGGTAGAAACTGAAAAATTATTCATAACGTGAGTACTATATGTCTTTTAGTAGACACATTTGATTAATAAGTTGACGTGTCTTGGTTATAAATAAGGCTCGAAGGATCAAAACGATATATTATTCATGTAAGTTCATAGTATGTTGGTATTTAAATACTTGATAATTTAATCGATTCGATATGGTTTATAAAATTGTTTATTTATAATGACTTAATACGTGAATGAAATTGATGCACCTATGACTGATTGCGTAATACTCAAATTGCCTCGGTAATTTAGGCGTGGTATAAAAAATATTTAAAGTGTAGATTAAGTTACTTTGCTGCACAAATTTTCACATTGCGATGGTATTCCCCCCCCCCCTTCCTCCCCAAGCTTGGCCTCGCGCCCCGCGCTCTCCCCCACTCACCGGAACTTCCACAGCAGGTCCTGTTCGTCGGCGGCGAGGTGGCGGCGCGGCGGCGCGGCCACGAGCGCGGCGAGCTGGTCGCGCTCGGCGGCCGTGGGCTTGGCCTCGCGCCCCGCGCTCCCCCCCACTCCCCACCCCCACTCACCGGAACTTCCACAGCAGGTCCTGTTCGTCGGCGGCGAGGTGGCGGCGCGGCGGCGCGGCCACGAGCGCGGCGAGCTGGTCGCGCTCGGCGGCCGTGGGCTTGGCCTCGCGCCCCGCGCTCCCCCCCACTCCCCACCCCCACTCACCGGAACTTCCACAGCAGGTCCTGTTCGTCGGCGGCGAGGTGGCGGCGCGGCGGCGCGGCCACGAGCGCGGCGAGCTGGTCGCGCTCGGCGGCCGTGGGCTTGGCCTCGCGCCCCGCGCTCCCCCCCACTCCCCACCCCCACTCACCGGAACTTCCACAGCAGGTCCTGTTCGTCGGCGGCGAGGTGGCGGCGCGGCGGCGCGGCCACGAGCGCGGCGAGCTGGTCGCGCTCGGCGGCCGTGGGCTTGGCCTCGCGCCCCGCGCTCCCCCCCACTCCCCACCCCCACTCACCGGAACTTCCACAGCAGGTCCTGTTCGTCGGCGGCGAGGTGGCGGCGCGGCGGCGCGGCCACGAGCGCGGCGAGCTGGTCGCGCTCGGCGGCCGTGGGCTTGGCCTCGCGCCCCGCGCTCCCCCCCACTCCCCACCCCCACTCACCGGAACTTCCACAGCAGGTCCTGTTCGTCGGCGGCGAGGTGGCGGCGCGGCGGCGCGGCCACGAGCGCGGCGAGCTGGTCGCGCTCGGCGGCCGTGGGCTTGGCCTCGCGCCCCGCGCTCCCCCCCACTCCCCACCCCCACTCACCGGAACTTCCACAGCAGGTCCTGTTCGTCGGCGGCGAGGTGGCGGCGCGGCGGCGCGGCCACGAGCGCGGCGAGCTGGTCGCGCTCGGCGGCCGTGGGCTTGGCCTCGCGCCCCGCGCTCCCCCCCACTCCCCACCCCCACTCACCGGAACTTCCACAGCAGGTCCTGTTCGTCGGCGGCGAGGTGGCGGCGCGGCGGCGCGGCCACGAGCGCGGCGAGCTGGTCGCGCTCGGCGGCCGTGGGCTTGGCCTCGCGCCCCGCGCTCCCCCCCACTCCCCACCCCCACTCACCGGAACTTCCACAGCAGGTCCTGTTCGTCGGCGGCGAGGTGGCGGCGCGGCGGCGCGGCCACGAGCGCGGCGAGCTGGTCGCGCTCGGCGGCCGTGGGCTTGGCCTCGCGCCCCGCGCTCCCCCCCACTCCCCACCCCCACTCACCGGAACTTCCACAGCAGGTCCTGTTCGTCGGCGGCGAGGTGGCGGCGCGGCGGCGCGGCCACGAGCGCGGCGAGCTGGTCGCGCTCGGCGGCCGTGGGCTTGGCCTCGCGCCCCGCGCTCCCCCCCACTCCCCACCCCACTCACCGGAACTTCCACAGCAGGTCCTGTTCGTCGGCGGCGAGGTGGCGGCGCGGCGGCGCGGCCACGAGCGCGGCGAGCTGGTCGCGCTCGGCGGCCGTGGGCTTGGCCTCGCGCCCCGCGCTCCCCCCCACTCCCCACCCCCACTCACCGGAACTTCCACAGCAGGTCCTGTTCGTCGGCGGCGAGGTGGCGGCGCGGCGGCGCGGCCACGAGCGCGGCGAGCTGGTCGCGCTCGGCGGCCGTGGGCTTGGCCTCGCGCCCCGCGCTCCCCCCCACTCCCCACCCCCACTCACCGGAACTTCCACAGCAGGTCCTGTTCGTCGGCGGCGAGGTGGCGGCGCGGCGGCGCGGCCACGAGCGCGGCGAGCTGGTCGCGCTCGGCGGCCGTGGGCTTGGCCTCGCGCCCCGCGCTCCCCCCCACTCCCCACCCCCACTCACCGGAACTTCCACAGCAGGTCCTGTTCGTCGGCGGCGAGGTGGCGGCGCGGCGGCGCGGCCACGAGCGCGGCGAGCTGGTCGCGCTCGGCGGCCGTGGGCTTGGCCTCGCGCCCCGCGCTCCCCCCCACTCCCCACCCCCACTCACCGGAACTTCCACAGCAGGTCCTGTTCGTCGGCGGCGAGGTGGCGGCGCGGCGGCGCGGCCACGAGCGCGGCGAGCTGGTCGCGCTCGGCGGCCGTGGGCTTGGCCTCGCGCCCCGCGCTCCCCCCCACTCCCCACCCCCACTCACCGGAACTTCCACAGCAGGTCCTGTTCGTCGGCGGCGAGGTGGCGGCGCGGCGGCGCGGCCACGAGCGCGGCGAGCTGGTCGCGCTCGGCGGCCGTGGGCTTGGCCTCGCGCCCCGCGCTCCCCCCCACTCCCCACCCCCACTCACCGGAACTTCCACAGCAGGTCCTGTTCGTCGGCGGCGAGGTGGCGGCGCGGCGGCGCGGCCACGAGCGCGGCGAGCTGGTCGCGCTCGGCGGCCGTGGGCTTGGCCTCGCGCCCCGCGCTCCCCCCCACTCCCCACCCCCACTCACCGGAACTTCCACAGCAGGTCCTGTTCGTCGGCGGCGAGGTGGCGGCGCGGCGGCGCGGCCACGAGCGCGGCGAGCTGGTCGCGCTCGGCGGCCGTGGGCTTGGCCTCGCGCCCCCACGCGCCGCGCACGCACCGCGCCAGCCGGTGCTGCTTGCTCTCCACCAGGTTCTCCTACCGCAACACACCTCACCGTCATAATTCGTCGTCATACCGCTTTTATTGCAGGCCATTGAAACGTAGGTACGTACTACATGCTAAAGCAGACGCCGCGAAGCAAATTTTGACGTGAATACATCTTTATTCTTTAAATTCAATGGCAATTTCGAAAGAAATTTTTGATGACAATATATTTTTGCGTCCACAAATGAAAAATATGTTGAATGAAATGTTTTCAATTCCTGAACAATTTTGTCTGGAGTCATACTACTGCTGGAAGTCAGGAATTAAAGATATTCCAGTTTGCACACGATACAAATCAGACTAGGCTCTATTATAAACGACCTTTGCCTGCGTTTGTCACTTTACCCGGGTGTTTGTGAAACGCTTTACTTTGTCCCGGGTGTTTGTGAAACACTACCGAAAACGAAGACAGACGATAGTATTAAGAATACCTTTGATGATGGGTCACTAAGAAATTCGATCCAGAGGCAAAAAAATCATCTTTTCACAACGTTTTATTAATTTTATTCATGCTCCTTCATGTTAGTACAGCTAAATAATTATTTAATAATAATTTCATTAAAAAAAATCAAGAAAATACTTTAACATAAAACCAGCAGTGAAACATACAATAAAATCAGCTGACAATAGGGTCAACATTCTCGTGGACGCGGAACTCTTTATCTCTAGCTCTGTGCGAAACAATGCCTACTCAATCTACCTTTCCCTTTCACACATGCGCTATCGCCGCCCAGCCGGCTCGTGTCACCTCGTACCGTGGAATTTACACATGTTAACTTTGCCAAATGTGGGGAATTCCCAAAGTTGCGGGGAATTTAAAGTTGGTTGGGAATTTTATGAGGATTGGTATTATGCGGGGAAAGTACGGGGATTTTGAAAATCGATAGCCAGGGCCAAGTCAGAACCTTTTTTCAAGAAATCTAAATACTTATCTTAACATTTTGTTAGGTTACTTATGAATATCAAGTGACTCCCTTTTTTAATTATCTTCATTGCACCACATTTAATTTTCGGATTTATTTCGGCAACTTTTGTGTATCATTTAATGCTTTTCATTTCTTTATTTTTTAAATTTAAAGAAAAAAAAATGTTAGTTAAAAAGTAAATCTTATAAAATTAGTTGAAAATTGATTCATTTCTTAAAATAAAATTGAGGGGAATTTGTGGAGAATCTGTTCTGAAGTTTTGTCCTTAAATTGGGGAATTAGACATGATTTTCGGGGAATTCGACAAATTGGTGTTGGCAACGCTGCCATGTTGCACCGAAATAACAATGGCAGAAAAATATTTAACAAAATTATCGCGTCTAGAAATAAGTTATATATAAAATGAGTTTAATTATTTTTCTATGATTTTTCAAATAAAAATTTATTTTAATTAAAGACAGAAAAAAAAGCATTTTTGGGAATATCAAATGACTTAAATCATTTTAATCTATTCAAGTGTTGCCATTTAGTATATTCATACTCTTTTGGTACACACTTTGTAAGACTACCAACACAACACACAAAATATTTTTATATTAAGTTATTATTAAGTGGCGAAGCTTGCTAAGTCACTTATTGATTTCACGATGTCTGTCCGTCTGTCCCACGATTATCTCGAGAATGGTTTTGAATTTTCAAATTCTGTTTTCAGCAATCGATTACTGATCACCCAGGCATCTGAACCTCCTATTTTGAAACTGATAGCTCAACGGCAACCGTTAGAAACCGCTACAAAGCTGATTGCTTCGCCACTTTGCTATGCTGTTAGCTTGCTAGGTTTATTAATAATAACTATACTATCAGTAATAATAAAAATAAAAGTGATATGGTTGGGAAGTCTCTTACAAAGAACTTCCTACAGTAATTCATTATCTCAATCATAGTACTATGTAACAATTCCATTTAATGTTATGGCAACACTAGCTAAAACAAAATGTCACTGTTTTTTTTACTGGCTTTACGGCTCTGGGTTCTTGCCCTTCTGAGAATGTCACTATGACACAAAGGCCCTGGAGCCATGCCAGAAATATACATTTATAGTATGTAAATATATAATATAGATACAATAATCTAAAAACTCTCAATTATGTATTATGTACTAAGTTAACATCAAACAGTGGTAGAGCCACGCGGCAGCTTTTGCTGTCGCACGGATGGGCCGGCTCGAGCCGGGGTGGTACCACGACCTCACAGAGGACCAGCGTGAAGTAGCGGTTTACCTCTGCGTTTCGCTTGGTGAGTGCAGGTGGCCAGAGGACCTTTTTACTGGAAATGAGGCATTCCATCTTAGTCCTCACGGGTGACAACGCATCTACATTTTGATTTGTAATAGAGGATAGATGTAGATGTCTATGGGCCGCAGCAACCACTTACCATCAGGTGGACTTTGTGCTCGTTTGTCACCCTTATCCTATAAAAAAACAACCACAGAAAGCATGACTTTTTCCAAGTGACATAAGACATAACCTAAAAAGGTTCAAATCTAAATATCTTTTTTTACGCCTTCTCAGGACAAATTTCTTTGACAGAGTTATTAAAGGACTGACGCTTAACATTTTAAGATATTGCATGCCTTAAGCGAAAGCGCAAGGTATGTTCTACTATCGCCTAAAAATTTATATTCCAACGTTTTATCGAAAGAAATCGTATCTAGCAATCATATTATACATATAAATGATATAAAAAGCACATTGTTAGAAAGATAAATGATTTTTGATATATAGACGCTACCATTCCTTCTCAATTAATTTTATGTATGAAAGTCTGCCATTGTTCTTTAGTATGCCGGAGACGTAAGAATTAGAGGCGACAATCACTATAAAACTTGCAAGTAATTTTTAATAATTTTGACGTACCTCTTTTTAAATTCAAAGTATTGGTCGGATTAAATACGGAAAGTCAATTAAAATAAAGTAAAAGTTTTATTTTTTATATTAATTCTGATAGATTAATTAACTGTCGATCATAATTGCAATTGATTTTAACTATTAAATTATTCAGTATCATTTCATTTCTATTTTCTTATACAAAATCAAAGATAACGATGAAATAGTGTTTATAATTGTGTAAGTACTGAGTACACAATTAGGTACGTTTATTAATTTTAATATAATATTTGTAGTAATGGACTGCTTGTTGCTTTAGGGTACAATTGATTGTGTAATTGTATTAAAAATGACAACCATAACTTCTAAATTCCATATGAAGACTAGTCGTCGAGATAACTAAACTTATAAATAAAATAAACGTTGGCAATGTCGTAACGGTTTAACGGACTGTGGAATTGATCAGTGCTTCAAGGACGTTACGGCGCACGAGGCATTTGTTTTGGCGGGACTGATTATTAATTTCAGTTTTTGAGACAGTTCCGTGTTGACTATCACGTGCGCGTGAGAGACAGTTCGATCGTTTTGTTTATTAAATTCTTGTTGTTACGTTTTGTGTTTCTTATTTTGTATTATATACGCCTAATGCCTAACGCGTAGATACGTTTATAGTGCTCGTGAATACGGCAACATGTTAATGTGTCTTGAAGAATCTCATAAGTCCACGGAGGATTTAGATCGGTAAGCTGTTTCATACCTATTTTTTTTTAAATAACTTAGTATTGAACTCATCTGAATAGGTACATAACTGAATACATCAGAATAATAAACATAACTACCCTATGGATAAAAAAGCATGACTCTAACCTTATTAACATTTCATTTAAGTATTTTTTATTAGCGGGGAATCGAACCAGGTATTTGGTTTATTTAACCTGTGAATAAAGTGGCTAGGTGGAGACAAACACAGTGGCAAAATAGTAGATTAAGTAGATAAGTTAGATATTTAGATAAGTGTTGTAAATTATTAGGTATTGTGGTACCTTCGCTAGCTGCGGGCCTCGCGAATTCGGCGTCCGGGCGTACATTGACCCCTAGTCAGCTGATTGTAATTCCACTGCTGGTTTTAGGTTTAAGTATTTTCATGATTTTTTTTATGAAATTATCGTTTCATTTAGCTGTACTAACATGATGGAGCGTGAATAAAGTTAATAAAACGTTGTCCAAAGATGAATTTTTCCCCTCGGGATCGAATTTCTTAGTGACCCATCATCAAAGGTATCGTTAGTACAATCGTCTGTTTAAAAACTGTTGACCGTAAAGTGTACAATGTACTCGTATTAGTACGGTAGTGCCTGTCTAGTTGTATACATTTGTGTTACGGCTGAAGGCCAAGAAAGTCATTATAATTATACGCAATAAGATACTTTATTTTATTTATTTCAAGATATCTTTGTTTGAAATTGATTGCAGGTTAATTTAGGCTGCAGTAACCTCTCAATATAGTGGACTCTTCAGTCGGCATTCAGAGACAATCTTGAGTTTATACTAATAATATAAAAAATAAATGCACAAATGTCTTACCTGTAAGATTTCATAGTCTGGCACTGTGACAATCTCCGCTTGAGCTCTAAACTGGTACATCTCGTCGCCATCTTGTTCATAGTACACTACTGCATGCTGCCAAACAAGAATATTATCTTTGTATACATAATGGTAGCAATGGCGCGGCGAGCACGGGCTTTCCAGAAGTTTAAAAAGGATCGCTCCGAACAAAATTGGTGTAACTTTAAATTGCTAAGAAACAGATGCAATCAGGTGGTAGGAAATGCTAAACGCCGTAACATTCATGACGAAATAACTAATTCTTCGCCCACTGATGTGTGGAACTGCACATGGCATGTATACCGCTTACTGGTCTGGTGTAGACGAGACCGAGCGGGCATGCCAGGGAGTCGGTATCATCCTTTCAGAAAGAATGGGTCAATGTGTGAAAGAGTACGAATGTGTAAGCCCAAGGCTGCTGTGGATACGAATGAAAGTGTGCTTAAAGAAGTTGTTTGTGCTAGGGGTGTACGCCCCAAATATGTCTAAGCCCACTTATATCCGAGAGCAGTTTTGGGACATGGTAAGACTGGTGTTGATGAAATGTAAAGAAAATGAAAATATTATTATGTTAGATTTTAATGAAAAAAAAAATGAAAGAATGAGGAGCGTAGTGGTAGATACAAGGGTTTACCGGGGGTGCAACGTAGGGACGGATTATTACTTGGTCTTATGCCGAATTAATTGTCTATTCAGGCGTTGGCGGCATCGGTCATCTGTGTCTACCACTGCGTTACAGCATATAAAAATAGAGAGGTTACAAGATGAAGGTGTGAAAGAGAAGTATAAATGCAGACTGAGGGAAAATATAAGTGGGTTGAATGAATTATGTATGAATGATTTAGACTTGAAGAATGTGGATGGATGCAGCCACCGAAGTATGTGGTGTAAGTAAGAGAACGAATGAAAGGAAAAGTAATACGTTATGGTGGGATGATGAGGTACGGATGGAAGTTGAAGCAAAGAAGAAAGCATGGCTTGATTTACTAGCAACCAAAGCTGGTAACTCTGGTGGTATGAATGATAAGATTGAAAGAAAAAAGGCAGACTTTAGGCGTATACATAAGAGAGTAAAAGAAGTTGTTGAAAGGAAAAAGCAAGAAAGGATAGATAAGAATGATAGAAGGATATCTGATAACTTCCAGGCAAATATTAAAATGTTCTGGAAGCTCGTAAGAACTACAAGGGGAACTTCAAAACAGCCTAGAATGAATGCTATACATGACGAGAATGGCTGCATGCTGAATGATGAAGTTTCGAATTTAAAGAGATAGAAGGAATACTTTGAAAGCGTGTTTAAGAGTGAAGAGTCGTCTGAAGTAAGTGAAATAGAAATTCCGGAAGAAGTGGAGAGAGGTAGGGAGATAAGTGTAGATGAAATAATGAAAGCAATGAAAAGCATGAAAGCAGGTAAGGCAGCCGGATATGATAGAATATCACTTGTTTAATTTATGTTGGGAACTGAAGCGGGTACCGGAAGACTAGTGCAAAGCCGTTATAGTCCCAATATATAAGGGAAAGGGCTCGCAGCAGGACTGTAAAAACTACCGTGGTATCAGCTTGCTTAGCATTGTGAGTAAACTGTATGCTAAGGTGTTAATTGAAAGAGTTATGGAAGAAACTGATGGAAAAATTTGGGATGTGCAAGCTGGATTTAGAAAGGGGATGGGGTGTACGAATCAAGTGTTTTCCATGCACATGATTGCGGAGAAGTTTTTGGCCAAAAACCAGAAAGTTTTTGTTCGTTCATGGACTTCGCAAAGGCTTATGACAGAGTGGACAGGAATGTGTTATGGCAAACACTGAACTCATTTGGGTTGAGCGATTGCTTGATACAGGCACTAAGCTCTCTTTATAGGGACTCTAGTGTTTGTGTCAGGATCAACAGGGTCTATTCGGATTGGTTTGGCATTTTTAAAGGTGTCAGACAGGGATGTGTGGCTTCCCCATTGTTTAACCTATTTATGGACAGTTGTTTGCAAACTTTGAAAGTTGAAGAATGTATGTTGAGAATGGGCGAGTTAACCGTCAAATGCCTTTTGTACGCCGATGATCAAGTCATACTTGCATCGTCGGCGGCCGAGTTGCAAATGATGGTTACTTTAATGAACTGGTCATTGAAAGAAAGGGGTATGAAAGTGAACGCAAGTAAGACAAAAGTGATGGTTTTTGAAAAAGAAGAAAGTAAAACGTTATGTGAAATAAGAATAGAAGGGGAGTTGATTGAGCAAGTGGATAAGTTTGTATATTTGAGATGTGTATTTAGCAGGGATGGTAGATATGATAAGGATATAGAACGACGAGTGAACGCAGGAAATAGAGTGAATGGGGCTCTACACGCTATTATGAGGAGTCAGAATGTGTCAAATAAGGCATGTATGGCAATTCATAATGCTGTGTTAGTCCCTACTTTAATGTATGGTAGTGAAAGTTGGGTCTGGCAGAAGAAGCATGAGAGTAGAATAAATGCTGTAGAAATGCGGTCCTTAAGGAGTATGCTAGGGCTGAATCTGAATGACAGGGTGAGAAATAGTGTAAGAGAAAAGTATAGTGTGCAAGATGACGTTGTGACAAGGATTAAGAAAGGAATGCTTCGGTGGTTTGGTCATGTAGAAAGAATGAACGAGGAAAGAGTGACAAAGCAAATTTGTGTTGCAGAAGTGGACGGCAGGGTCGGGAAGGGACGCCCTAGACGAAGGTTTATCGACCAAATCGGCGATACATTAAAAATGGGCCAGATTAGGAGTACCCTTAACCGACGAGCGTGTATGCGTAGATATATGGATGTAAAGGAGGCGAGAGAGGTGTGTCAGGATCGCGCCAAATGGAAGTCCGTAGTCTTTGCCTGCCCCTCTTGGCTGACAGGCGTGAGTGGTTGTTGTGAAGAATACATCCATTTCTCATCCGCACGTAACAATACATAGGAAATAAATAACTCACGTTGATGCCATCTATCTGCACTGTGGGGAACTCTATCATGAGATACATATAATCAGAGCTGCGCTTCTCCTTCTCGTTGATCATCTCGATCTCTCTGAATGTCAGTCTGTCCAGCCAGTCCACCTGGAACAAAGCATGTTACAAGCAAACAATTATGTGTAAGGGCTCATTTTCTTTTTACATTTTCAAAAATAAATGAATCCGAATCCCACTGAATCCGATTAGGAAGATAATATCAAAACATTCCTGGAGGCAGTAAGTTCCACAGTGTAATGCATGACAGAAAATTCCTTATAACGCACGTTAGTGGACTTCTAACCATCGAAGTTATTTGGATGGAATTGATGATGGAAAATGTACGATGGTGGAATTTAGCAGCTGCAATTGAACCGAACAAACTCCGAGCACCGTCCGTGGTGTCTGCGGAAGATGAAAAGGCACAAAGTTTCTTTCCGTTGGCATGGCCAGATGGCAGTGCAGTTATTTCGCTTGCGCCAGTAGACAGCCAGTAGCATAATAACAAACCTGTGAGAGAACTAAGATGTCTCATAACCATGAGACGTCTTAGTTCTCACAGGTGACATAGCATTAAATACTAATGCGTAAGGAAATACATCACTAATGTGTCGAATAAATGCTCACCTTAGGCATGTGTCCGTTTCTGTGTTTCTTGGCCAATTTGGCCAACTTCTGCATCTGTTCCTTGCCGCGGTCTGGAGCCTTCCCCGGTGTCTTCTCGCTCCCCTCCACTCCGGGCCAAACGCGCAAGTCGAACATACCCTTTGCAACGACCACACGATTTCTTTTTAATCGATGCACCAAAAATATGAAATATTTCGTCCAAAAAGTTAATTTGCTCGATGAAATTCCCATTTTTTTAATATGCTACCAAAAGATACGTGACGTTTTTTGTTTATTTACAGGGAAACATCCAAAATACACCACTGAATTTTTTTTTGTGTCAGATTTATGTCTGACGTCCGTACTCTACAATATATTTTCAAGCTATTTGAAACACACACATTTTTTGGACATGGCAAATATTTATTATCAAATACAAAAGTATTTATTCACATCAACGCATATAGGTTTAGGAATCACCACTAATTCGAAATTTAAAAACAATTTCGTGTAAATTGTTTAAATAAATCGTAACAGAAATGATTTCTGTTATATTTTGTTGTCTTCTAACTTACAATGACGAGAGTGCAATGTTTCTAGAAGTGTATGATAAGACCCAGTTAAATATGTTGAAAGAGGAATAATTGCATAAATATTGTCGATATTCAGATAAGTTCACGCTTTATACGTGACTTTGGAATTACATTATTAATTAAAAGAACACAATAAATAAATTAATATCATAAATAACCTTTAAACTGAGTGTACGGTTGAAAATGTAATAACAAATCCCGACTGTGTGAAAAATACTCTTTTTTTTATAGAATAAGGGTGACAAACAAGCACACAATCCACCTGATGGTAAGTGGTTGCTGTGGCCCATGGACGTCTACATCTATCTTCGATTACAAATCAAAATGCAGATGCGGTGTCACCCGTGATGACTAAGATGGAATGCCTCGTTTCCAGTAAAAAGGGTCTCCGGTTCTCTACACTCACCGTACGAAACACAGCAACCTTATGTTGCTATTTTACGCTGGTATTCTGTGCAAGCGTGGTCCTTCCCCGGTCGAGCCGACCCATTCGTGCTACAACTATACTACTAATATAGCTGCAGCACGGCTCTACCACGTAAAAACTGTAATACCTACTACTGAAAAGAAAAAATTCAAATATATCCTGTATCACTTCCACAATTAAAATGAATCAAGCAACATCTGATATGTTAATATCCATCTTTTCGCCAGATACGAAAGATTTGACTTTAAAAGAAATTGAGGAATTTTATAAAGTGAGACGATCTCCTCTAACATCATAAAGTCGTATCATTTCTATGCAAACTTTGTCTAAACAAGTTTAGTAAAAAGAAAGAAAAAAAGTAAGTCATGGCCAAAAATGTTTATGTATATATAGGTTATGGCCAAATGGCTGCTTATGAGTAGTTTATGTTGTATTGGTAACTGCGTTGTTGGTGCAACACAATGTTACTTGAAAACAAGTTAAACTAAATTTTATTTTATATATTGTTACCACATTTTTTATCATTTTCATGCATTGTCACCCGAATTTGAGCTATATTCAAAATTTCAAGTTTCCAGCTCAACCGGAAGTTAGTTTAAAATCAATTACTAAATTCCACCTGGAATGACAGACAAGAGATTTAATAAAAACGTGGTAAAATTGTTTATTTTTTGATTTGGTACTTTAGCTGTACTATATTGTAGCTACAATGAAAATTTATTTCTTGCTTTATGAAGAGATATATTAATTTACAAACCTGTCTTAGCATCCCATGCTTTCCGAAGAGAGATATTGTTGTCCCTCCCACGATCATGACCTTCCCTGGTCCAGCACAATCATAGATAGTCAAAGCAAGGATAGCATTACGTGGCAGATCACTAAAGAAAACTGGTAGTGTAATCCACTCATTCCAGCTGTAAAAATGAACAGATTACTATTACCTCTGTAATAAATCAACTGCTTTGCTAGTGAATTTAAGATAGCGATACAAGTTAGACACTACCATTGGGAATTTAGGTTAGTATATATATTCAAGATAGCATATTCGAGCCGTGGTAGCGCAGTGACTAAACGCTCGAGGTAAACTTCACAGTACGCTAGTAACCCAGGTTTAATCTCCGCCGGCACCAATGGAATTGTTAATTGCAATTTTAAGTGCTGATTTACCACGTACTCGGCGGTGAAGGAAAAAATCGTAAGGAAACATACATATCTGAAAAGTTAGAAAAAAATGCATCAAATACATGATAAGTTCGCTAACACAAATTGGGGCAGCGCAGTGGACATTTTCTTGTCCTAAAAACTGAGAGGAGGCCTGTGCCAAGCAGTGTGAGGTATATAGGCTGTAACTTTAACTTTTTTATATTCAAGATGTTTACTGTGTCTGCAAGATATTCAGATTCCTTGTCCAGATTTGTTGACAGTAAAAAGTGGTAATATTAAAAATTTTAAACAACCGAATTAAATATAAATAAAATGAGAACATCATCAAAGTAGTCGAAGTCCATTAATAAGGATAACTCAAGAACTGCTGGTCAGATCTTGATCAAATTTATATGAGAAGCACCAGCCTCCAAATAAAAAGCAGAGAATATCAAATAGAATCATCAAAATTGGTTCTCCTAGAAAAAAGTACTGAGGTAACACACAAAAACTACAGTCGAATTGAGTACCTCCTCCTGTATTTGAAGTCGGTTAAAAATAAGAAATCACCTTGGTGGGTTGTAAAAGATAATATTCTATCAACTTATTCATATGCTGTTATATCATAGATTATCATAAATAGTTTGCATAACATTGTTAAGAAATAATGTTTGTAAAGTCAACTAATTTCTCATTAGTTTTGCTACCTAGCACAATACACGTATTTACCTAAATTACGGTGTCTTATTGGATCTAACAGTGGCGACGAAGTGTAAAAAGTGGAACAACGGAACGTAAATCAGTGAATTGTCACGAATTTAATTTACAAAGTGACATTTTTACTTATTGGGAAAATTACATAGAACAACTGAAGTACTGTTTTGAGACGAACGGAATCGTCTCAGACGCGGTTCAATGGGCGAATTTTTACACAGTTGTAGGGCAAATGTATATGAGACTGTTTTGACATTAATTACGCCTAAAAAAATCTAGTGATATGACATTCGCGGAAATTGTAACGATTCTTACGAAGCATTATAGTCCGAAACCAAATGAGATTTCATTGTCTATTAAATTTTATAAAAGCGATCAAAAAGAAAACGAATCAGTATCAGAGTATATCGCACATATTAGAAAAATAAATGCAAGGTGCAATTTTACGGACTTGGAACATATGCTTCGTGACAGACTTTTGTGCGGTATGAGTGATATGAAGTTGTATTATAAATTGTTGAAAAAAGACAATTAACAGTATTTGGATGTGGTGGATGCCATGGCCATGCTATCATTTGAAAGTGCAGTGAGGGATGTCCGGATGATGAAAGATGTAAGAAAAATGAAGACATACGACTTTCCGGAGACTATGGAAGTACGGTAAATCAAGCTAATGAGTCAGATACGTACATGCCCACGGCTAGTGAAGATTTTGCCGTTATTGAGGCTTTTAACTTTGAATACATGTAAAGGATAGTACGCCGTACACAGATTGGCATTCAGCGTGTCGGGGAATATATCAACGCCTGATGACAGCACTGCTAGCAGGCGTACCAGGAGTAGCGTGCCAGGTGCTGATTGATAACATCATCATCAGCGGCCGCACATTGACAGAAATGATTCAATGTCTTGAAATAGTACTGGACCGCATTGAAAGAGCAGGATTGCGTCTTAATAAAGACAAATGTAAATTTGCTAATAGACGCGTGGAATTTTTAGGTTTTGTGATCGATGTTCCCCGTGTAGGGTCGGGTAAGAATACTCGCTACCCCATATCTTCCAGTGGGTGTCGTAAAAGGCGACAGAGGGAAACTGAGGCAAAGGATGGGCAGCAGCATCTTTCAGATAACAGCAAAACAACAATAAAAAACTGCGGTTGCCAACCCGCTCGCCAAGCGTGGCAACTATGGCAATATACGGGAGTAAAGTAGGGAATTTCTGAACTACAAAACCGTTTTCAGGGCCTAAAAGATTGCAATTCAGTGGACGATATGAATGACAAGCTCGTGGAAACTGTCCATGCGGTCGGAGATAAGTTTTGCAAGACCCGCCGCAGAAGAACACAAAAACTCTCCGATCACACTCTTAATCTCATGGCTGTTAGACGGGATATGAAGCTGCAGTTTTCAGTAGATTTGACAGCATACGGGCAACTGAACAGACAAATATCCAAATGCATGCGGCGGGACTTACGCAACTTCAATACAGCTCGTATTGAAGAAGCGATCGAGCGGAACCAGGGCTCCAAATTCTTTGCTAGAGATCTTTCTGCCAGAAAGAGCCAATTGTCGAAGCTGAAGACCGAGTGTGGCAGCGTCGTTTCCGGGACACCTGAGATTTTGAGTGAGATTGAGAGGTTCTATGGGCAGCTGTACACATCATCGTTGGAGTCACACGTAAGTGTGAGTAACGATCCAAGAGCGAGTCTTATCCGACACTATTCCGGTGATATCCCGGACGTCAGTCTGAGCGAGATTAGAATGGCTATCCATCACCTTAAAAACGGCAAGGCCCCAGGCGAGGATGGAATTACAGCGGAGCTTCTGAAAGCGGGTGGAAAACCGGTACTTGTAGTCCTTCAGAAGCTCTTTAATTCCGTCCTCCATGGTGGCACTACACCGGAGGCGTGGAGCAGAAGTGCGGTAGTCTTATTCTTCAAGAAAGGTGACAACGCTCTCTTGAAGAATTACAGACAGATTTCCCTTCTGAGCCGCGTCTAAGTGCTGTTTTCGAGAGTCATTACGAATCGTCTCGCGCGCAGATTTGACGACTTCTAGCCTCCCGAACAAGCCGATTTCAGAAAAGGCTTTATAGGCACCATAGACCACATACATACCCTTCGGCAAATTGTACAGAAGTCCGAGGAGTACAATTTGCCACTCTGTCTGGCGTATGTGGACTATGAGAAAGCCTTTGATTCCGTCGAAATCTGGGCGGTGCTGCACTCTCTTCAGCGATGCCAAGTTGACTGTCGGTATATCGAAGTGCTGAAGTGTTTGTACAGTAGAGCTACGATGGCTATCCGAGTACAGAACCAGAGTACGAAACCTATCCAATTGCAGAGAGGTGTAAGACAGGGTGACGTGATATCCCCGAAACTCTTCACCGCTGCATTGGAAGACGTTTTCAAGCTTCTGGACTGGAAAGGATACGGTATTTAACATCAATGGCGAGTACATCACTCACCTTCGATTTGCCGACGATATAGTCCTTATGGCAGAATCGCTGGAGGACCTAAGCACTATGCTCAATGACCTCAATAGTGTTTCCCAACGGATAGGTCTTAAGATGAATATGTACAAAACAAAGCTCATGTTTAATGTCCATGTGACACCTATGCCGGTAGATGTTGGGGACACTAAGCTCGAAGTTGTTGATGAGTATGTTTACCTGGGACAAATAGTCCGACTAGGTAAGTCCAACTTCGACCGAGAGGTCAATCGGCGGATTCAACTAGGTTGGGCAGCGTTCGGGAAATTACGGCACATCTTCCCGTCAGGTATACCTCAAAACTTGAAAACAAGACTGTACAACCAGTGCGTGTTGCCAGTGATGACCTATGGTACTGAGACGTGGTTCTTCACTGCTGGCCTGATGAGGAAGCTCAAGGTCGCTCAGCGAGCTATGGAGAGGGCATGCTCGGAGTTTCTCTGCGTGATAAACTTAGAAATGAAGATATCCGCAGTAGAACCAGAGTGACCGATATAGCCCAACGGATTAGTAAGCTGAAGTGGCAATGGGTCGGCCATATAGCTCGAAGAACCGACAACCGTTGGGGAAAAAAGGTTCTCGAGTGGCGGCCTCGTACCGGCGGACGAAGTGTAGGGCGTCCCCCCACTAGATGGAGTGACGACCTGGTAAGATATGCAGGGAGTCGATGGATGCAGGTGGCTCGGGACCGTGCTTTGTGGCATTCTTTGGGGGAGGCCTATGTTCAGCAGTGGACTTGTGAAGGGCTGTAATGATGACGATGATGATGATGATGATGATGATGATGTAATCATTGTGAATGGTATTAATCCTGAGTTGGATTGAAGAAAGGTTGAATCGATTCTTAAAACTCCGGAACCTAAAATATTTTTTTTTTATAGAAGAGGGGGCAAACTAGCATGCGGCTCACCTGATGGTAAGTGATTACCGCCGCCCATGAACAACCACAACACCAGGGGAATTGCAGATGCGTTGCCGGCCTTTTAGAAAGGTGTAAGCTCTTTTCTTGAAGGTCCCTATGTCGTATCGGTCCGGAAAAATCGCCAGTGATAAACAATTCCACAGAGAAATTGTACGAGGAAGAAAACTCCTAGTAAAATGCCAAGTATCGTGAATTTTGACGGGATGTGCGTTCGTGAAATTTGGCGGCTGGAATTAATCCGAACAATTCTTCAGAGCACTCCCCGTGGTAAATTCGATAGAAAATGCAAAAGGATGCAACATCCCTACGCAGTGCCAGGGTATCGAGCCGATCAGAAAGAACTCGGTCGTCGACGATTCGAACCGCTCTGCGCCGGATGCGGTCAAGTGGAAGGAGCTGGCACTGGGGTGTCCCGGTCCAGAGATGAGAACAGTATTCAATGTGAGGCCAAACTTTATAAATTAAACATATAGCAGTTACAAGCATTTTTAGGCCTCTACAACTTTTGCGAGAGGTTCATACCTCACAAAGCAACTATACCTGAACCTCTATATAGATTACTCGATAAGAAACAAATGTGGCAATAGACTGACCTTACTTTCTTCAGAGTTGACAGCCATTGGTTTTTACCTGTGATAGCTCTGAGTACGATTGTGTGAAACTTTGGCCTCAGATAATGGAACTGCATTTGTATTTACAGAAATAAAAATATTTCTTGAAGCCAATAAAATTAAACATGTCACTACAGCACCTTATCATCCAGTTACCAGTGGTTTGGCTGAAAGGATGGTCCAAACCATTAAAGATAAACTACGCAAGATGGATGATATCCCATGGGATATCAAACTCCCTAACATTTTACTAGGTTTGTGTGTTACACCTCGTACATCTACTAAAAAGAGTCCGGCCCAGAGAATGGGCCAGATTAGGAGTACCCTTAACTGATGAGTGTGTATGCGTAGATATATGGATGTAAAGAAGGCGACAGAGGTTTGTCAGGATCACGCCAAATGGAAGTCTGTAGTCTCTGCCTACCCCTCTGGGTGACAGGCGTGTGTGTGATAAATAGGCAGAAATGTAATCTAATATGGAAAAACTTATTCTTGGGGAAAAATTAGGAATAAAATAAATGTTCATTCTAAGTCACCAAATGAGAGACCTAGCACAATACACGTATTTACCTAAATTACATTGTTTTATTGGATTTAACATATGTCAATCTCACCTGCAAGTAGTGTACATTGCTGATTGTCAAACAAGGCTTTTGTGAGTTACTGTTGGCAGAACACCAATTCAAAAATGCTATTATTACTGAACAATTATTACACAAACAATTGACAGCTGAATCACTTCGCCGGGCTATGGCTCTTTTTACGACGAGGGGAAGCTGCATAACTCCCAAGACTTCCATGATGACGTCCTGAATCACTTTGAAAAAGATTCTCGACGGAGCACGCGTGACGCGATACGTCGCTTCGGTATAAGCCAGTCATGCGCTTGAAAGATTGTGTGCTCAGCTGAGATGCTCCCCTATCATTACAGGAAGACCCAGGAGCTGATGACCATCGATAGAGCACCGAAGATGGCGTTTTGCAATTGGGTGTTGGGAAACCCTGATGAGGATGTGTTGTTACCATAACTAAATACAAAAGATTGGTGCCAACACCGTTATCAACCTACTAGCAATAGTGAATATGAGCAAGTTTTAAGTTCTTCATGCCATCTGGCATATTCTAGAAATCCCATAATGGAATGAGTGATATGTGTGATAAGAGAAAAGTATGGTTGGCAAGATGATGTTGTGACCAGTATTAAGAAAAGAATGCTTCGGTGTCTTTTGGCTGTGCAGAAAGAATGAATGAGGAAAGAGTGACAAATCAAATTTATGTTGCGGAAGTGAACAGTAGAGTCAGGAAGGGATGCCCTAGATGAAAGTTTATTGACCAAATTCGCAATTTTGTAAATTGACGATGGCTCAGATTAAGAGCCGACAAGCATGTATGGGTAGGTATATGGATGTAATAGAACAGAATCATTTTTATTCAATATAGATTATAGTACATAATTCTTATTGAAAGTAATTTTTTACTTTTACCACTTACTTTTATTATATTATTACTTACACTTAAAGGAGGCGAGAAATGTGTGTCACTATTGTGCCAAATGGAAGTCCATAGTCACTGCCTACCCCTCTGGGTGATAGGTGTGAGTGTTATGTGGATTGAGTGAAGAAAATTCTTGCAAAATAAACATTATACTTACTTCCACCTGTTGGTAAAGGCCTTATATGATGTAGTCACAGGCAGTGCAAGAGGCAGTCCATCACATAGAACCTGGCAGGTGACATATAAGTCTGAACAGCCTTCCTGGTATAGCCCAGAGAATTTGAGCATGGGATCTGACAGTAGTTTGTCATACTCAGGTTTTGTGCGCTTCCCTTCAAGAGTGCCTCTGGTAACAAGGATTATAAGGAAAATAATTAAAATGAGATTTTTTTATTAATGTAAATATTTATTCAAAAGAACAAACATAGTAACCAAGCTGACAAATTAAATGAAAAAATTTGATCTCTCATAACAGTGGGTTAATCTACTCATGTTAGAATCCCTACATTTATGAATAATTTATATTTATATGGATAAAACCTTATCACAGCAATATTCTCATTTATAGGTTGCTAAACTTATGAGGGGATTTTAGCCATAGTTGCTTACCAGGGATTGCAGGTTTTTTAATTTCTAGCTATTATTAGGAAGACGCTGATGCCTCTTCTGGCATGATTCCTTCAGTCCCCTCTTACGACACCCATAGGATGATATGGGGTAGTGGGTAAATTTTAAACCACTACTACTACGGAAAAGGTTCTAAAGTGGCAGCCTCATACTGGTGAGCAAAGTGTAGGGTGGCTTCCAACAGATGTAGTCATCTCGTAGGAGGGCTCCACTTACCAGGTTTAACACTCCATCTATTGGATTGATGGATGCAAGCAGCTCAGGAATAGCTTTGTGGCGTTATTTAGGGATAGCACTTTATAATTAACCACTTTTGAGTTTTACAAACATCATGTCTATGCAAAACAACAAAGTTTGTGATACATTGTTATTTAATTGTATAACAGATCATGCAATATGCTTATCTTGGACATGATTTAATATTTCTAATGAAGGTTTTGTGTTTATTATTTCACTCAATCCAGGATAGTGTTACAAATTCATACTTACATTTTAATTTCAACTTTGTAGTCCAAAGATGAACTGTAGACATAATAAAATTTATCGTCTATTTCATTCATTTCATAAGAATTATGCATACAACAAGTGAAAACTGAAACAAAATCGTAAGTTGTAACAAATTTTAATTTATTAGCCTACTTTTTAGCAATTTCATTCTTATAATTTCACTATATTGTATCTAGGTAGTTTTTAATTTTCACTTTTCAAGTTTTCAAAACGTAATACACATACACACTACACAGATAGCTAAAACCTAGTTGACATTAGCTTGCTACATATATATTTATCTATGGTTGACATTGGTTGACTTGTTGTTGTTTTTATTATTCGCTCGAGAGAGCAGGCAATGGAACTAAGCCATACAGCCTTGTCTTTTTTATTTTGAATATATAGAATTTTAGAGTGAAAAGGCCGGAACCTATTCTTATTTTTCTTCTTTCCATCTCTTCAAAATCCATAAAGGCCGTAGTCAAGTCTTATTTTCTTTAATTCTTCATATTTTTCAAAAACCCGTAAAGGTAAAGCCAAGTCTTCTTTATATTATACACTTTGTAAGTTTCAATCCATGTAGATTTGTCAACCCAATATTTTCAAAAACAGGGATACCATATTTCATATATCTTTTACAGTATTATGAATAAAATTGCAAAGTGCTAAATACGTCTTAGTATTCCTAAGAACATCTTGCAGGGCACGCGGGATGCTTTCTGAGTTTTCAAAAACTTGTATAAGTTTTTCAATGAGTAGCAATCTTTCTATGGCGTACGCTGGGCAGTTAAATATTATATGTTCTGCAGTCTGATCTGCTTCTGTATCGCAGAAATTTCATGTTGCAGATGCTACTATTCTCATCCTGGAAAGATGAGCGTTCAGTCGATAGTGGCCAAATCTAAGTCTGCACATTATTGTATTAAATTTTCTGTTATGATATCTCATATCGTTGCGAGAAAACCAAGGAATACTTAATTCTGAATTAATTGATGCATACCAACGACCTTTTCCTGCCTCTAAAACAGCATTCCATTGCATTTTCCATTCTTAATTTAACTCTTGCTTTAAAATTGAATATAAATCTGTATGTGGTATTGCAACATCAGTTATCCTGTCAATATCAGCTGTAACTATACTTTTAGATAAATGATCTGCACTTTCATTTCCTTGAACCCCAATATGTGACGGAATCCATAAAAATTTTACTTCCAAATTATTTTCTTTCAATTTCCACCACAAACTTTTGATTTCATATAATATGATGAAAGACGTTTTAGCATCTAAAGCTTTTGCCTTCAGTGCATTCAAGACACTCATGGTATCAGAGATCAGTAACCATTTATTAGATACATGTGGGTGTTCTTCTATATATTTAAGAGCGATTAAGACAGCATAACATTCTGCAGTGTATATGCTTGCTAATGCAGGAATGGAAAGGCCACGTCCAGTTTTCAGATGAGGTATGTAAAATGCACAGGCTACTTTATTTTCAACTTTTGAACCATCTGTGTAAATTTGTCGATATTCATCATATGTAGATATAAGTTCATAAACCTCTTCTTTTCTTTTCAATTTTTCATCAATATTTATGTGTATATCACTGAATTTACTTTCATAATTCCCTTTATAACAAGGCCAAGTACGTGTGCTTTTGTGAATATTATATTGTTCATCATATCGTATCACTTCATGAAAGTCATGGATTATATATGGGGCTAAGTTAGATATAGGAGACATACTATTATAGTAAAATAATACTTTTTGAAAAAGAGGATGATGAGACAAATAATTAATATTTAATAAAAACCTAAATTTCAGATATTTAAACCTAAGTAAGATAGGAGGAGTAAGACATTCAGCCTGTAAAGAAACAATAGGAGTTGTTCTCATAGAGCCGGTAATAAGTCTTAAATTCTTATTTTGTATATTTTCTAATTTGTTTACTAGTTTTTTATTTGATGCAAAACAATGAAAGCCGTACTCAAAATGGCTCCTCACCAAAGACTTATTTAACATTAATAATATTTCTGGAACAGCTCCCCAGTTAGTACTTGCCAAAGCTTTTAATACATTAAAGGCCTTAGAAGCTCTGTCTGAAATAGAATTCACGTATTTGGTCCAAGATAAATTATTTGTAAAAATTACACCTAAGAATTTTCCACAACTTTCTATCGGTAAAAATGTATTATTATAAATTATTCTAGTGTTGAATGGACGAATTTTATTAAATATTACGACTTTACTTTTCTCAGTACTAATATCTAAATTTAAGTATGAAAAGTAAATGTGCGATTTCTTTAAAGCCTCATTTAAAGTGGTTACCAAGTTTTTGACATTTGTTCCCGAGGCATAAATGACCAAATCATCTGCATATTGTAAATTAGTAACATTTGATCCTAAAATATTGTTTAATTTAAATATGTATAAAATAAAGATAAGAGGACTTAATATTCTTCCTTGACAAACACCTTTATAACTGAGCCTAGGACCAATAATTGTATTATTATTATTAACTTTAGCAAAAACTCTTCTTTCGTGTAAAAAGTTAAATATCCATTTTACAATTTTTTTCAGGAATGGCCAAACACCTCAACTCTGCGGGCGAGTACATGAAGATTAATGTTATTAAATAATTAAATGCACCAACAATGTCAAGGAATATACTAATTAGGTAATACTTCTTTATTTTCCATAGCTTTAAAGATGTCTAAATGTAGAAATGCAATACTTTCTCTAGATGACTTACGGCGTCTGAATCCAAACTGATTTGGTGGTAAAAGACAATTTTTTCTAGATAAAATTCTAATCTAGATTTTATAAGTTGTTCAAATATTTTACCCATACAAGATGTAAGTGCTATAGGTCTATAAGATTCTGCAATGTGAGGTTTTTTTCCAGGCTTTAAAATGGGTATCAAACAATCTTCTTTCCAATCGTTAGGAATAAGTGAATAAAACCATAACATATTATATATTTTCAAAACTAGTTCTCTACACGCAGTATTCATATTTTTAAAGCTTTATATGGAACAGAATCTAAACCACAAGTAGTGTCTTTTCTAGAGTTAACAGATGAATTGAATTCGGTCAAGGTCTGGTAAGATAATCACAATGATTATCATTTGAGGAGTGAGGGGTTAGAGGTGTTTCATCTATTTCTGGAGTATATTTTTTCAAAAATTCATTAGCCCAATTAGAATCTATGACAGATGTGTTATTATGAACAAAAGTTTTGTTAAACTTTTTAATGTAATTCCATACTCTAGTCAATGGAGTAGATCTATTAAAAGTTTCACATAGTTTTTTCCAGCTAAGCTGTCCTTCAGTCTTTAAAGTAATTTTTTTAACTGCTTGTAGTCTTTTAAAATTAATATAATTTCGTTCTGTGGGATCATTCTTAAATACTAAATATGCATTTTTACAATTTAATACTGCCTCTTTGCATTTTAAATTCCACCAAGGTAGAGAATTTTTTTTAATTCTTTTAAAAGATTGCAAGTTGATGTTAACATTTCGATTAGAAGACTGATTGGATGGTGTGGATTCATGCATGGCTTGTTTGATTAGTTCTATTAAGTCTGTATAAGATTGTAAAGGATACTATAATCAAAACTATAATTTTTAATTAAATTATCTATTAAATTTGGATATTTTGACCAATCTACCAATTTTAAGTTTATGTTATTTGATACAGCTGTTTCTTGAAAATTTTGATTATTGACCGTAATTTTTGTCATTACAGGAAAATGATAGCTGCCTAGAGAATCATCATCACATACTTGTCACTCACAAGACAGAGCCAGTGAAGATGAAACAAGTGTTATGTCTAATGCGTTCTGCCTCCACCTATGAGAACTGTAGTCATCTGACCATCATTCAAGATTACAAGATTGTTGTCATCTATACTTGCAAGAACGTCCCTACCTCATGAATCTAATTCAGTACATCCCCATAACGTGTGATGGGCGTTGAAATCACCAGCTATAAAGACTGGCTGTGGCAAACTTTGGATTAAATTATCTAATTTGGATTTATTATAATTAATTGGTAATTCGGCAACACGTGTTGACAAATGTTGTGTTGACAACAAAACTTTGGTGGAGACGCGCCATAAGAATAAAATGCCATATGCATTTGCATTGTGCCCCTAAGAATTAGGATGTTAAGCCTTTTCAGTTGAAGTGGCTAACCAAACAAATTCTGGCATCGTGCTAAATGGTGATAATTATCATGGAATAATGTTTGTTTTTTAGGGGGACAGTAAACACTAACTAAAGTTAATAATTTATCATTGTATTGTATTTGTACAGCTATATTTTGTAATGAGTCATCAGAGAATGTATTGATAACACGAAATCCAATTTTGTTATGTAGAAGTATTGCTACTCCATCATTACCTGAATCTAATCGTATAATATTATAACCTTTTATTCTAAAATTGTGCCTAGGTTTACGCCAAGTTTCACATATGAGAGCAACATTTATGGTGTTCTCATATAAAAATTGTGTAAATTGAAAGCGAATTTTATTTAAACTTTGTGCATTCCATTGTAAAATGTTAAACTGATCCATAAAATATTAAATGTTAAATAATGAAATATCTATTTTGGTTTCATTGTATCTATGAGAACATCTTTAATAAGCTGAGAAGATATGGTGGTTTGTTCATTTGATTTATTAAGAGTTAACACTTTAATGACTGTATTTAAAATTATATTAATAATGTCATCATTCTTTAGTAGTGACATAAGAGCATCTTTGGGATTTTTTTTGTTTAATTCGGGGAATTCGTTTTTATTAAAAAGGTCTACAAATGGGGTTTTGTGTAATTTAGCCTTATTTTCTTTTATCTTTTGTTTCTTAACAGGACACTGTCCAGAAATGCTTAGATGGTTTCCTTTGCAATGTATGCATATCGCTTTATCTGAAGAGACTTGGCAATCTTTGTAGCTGTGATTTTCAGTACAAATTGAGCATTTCACAGAATTTTTACAATACTTTGCTAAGTGACCATACCTCAGACAATTGTAGCACTGCTTCACTGGTGGAATATACTGATTTACCACGAACCGCCAACCATGAACATCAACGTGGTTCGGCAAAACATTAGAAGCGAATGTGATGGCCACGGTGCCCGTCGCCTGCAGCAAACTGCGTCCTGCATCATTATTATGTTTCCTCATTATCCTTTTAACACATATTATCTTCCTGTAAGTCGTTAACATACCAAAAATTCTTGAATTAGAAAGATTAGTGGGAACATTGGTTATGACTCCTGTTATTTCTGTCCCTACAGCTGGGATAGATGCCTTCATTTTGTATTCATTAAGAAAAGTAATATTATTTAAAAATGCATTCGCTAGAGAGGGCTTTTCAAAATGAACGCCTATTTTGTATTTATTTATAGATTGCAAATATTTAATGCCTTTATTGAACCTCTTCATATGTGTGGACAGAGATATCATGTCCCGCGTGCCGATTGGCCTTCTTTCATCATTTGATTCGACAAATACAACAAAATCAACGAGAATAGAGTCCTCAGGGTACCTCCTGTTGTAGTCAGATACAAAGTACTGCTTATACTTGCGCTGCTCTTTCTCAGGATCTTCCTCAGTACTGGTATCAATTTCTTCCTCCTCAGTCGTTTCTTCAAACACTTCTTCTTCTCCCGGCAACTTTTTTTCTACGTTTCCCTATGATGAGGAAACCCAGTAACAATTAAACAATAAAAGTTTAGTGCCTTTTAACTAAATAAAACAAAATTAAAATTTTAGTTTAAAAAAAGGCGTCTATCACGTTTCAAGGTTCCCGCGCTTCCCCTGACATTGGTTGACATTATGACAAATTGCAGTGACAATGACATTAAGGCATGAGACCTGAGACTGAGAACAATTAATCGAAAAATGATTATTAAGGGTTGAGGAATCGATTCATAAATTGACCTGAAACACTGGATCGATCCAAGAATTAGTTGAATTGGACAGGAAAGGCTATTCGTAAAAATATTTCCCTTAGATGATGATAGGTATGTGGTGATTTAAACTTTAATAGTAATATGATATTTAACGCGGGTACATTTTTGGACTAGCAATCTACGTAGGCCAGGTTTTTAAAGTATACGATTGTACAACGTGTGAACAAATACAAACTCACTATCTCCTAAATCTGATAGTTCGATGGTATGGTAATCCGAAACGAACTATACTTAGAAACTAAACAGTCAATTGTGACTGCTAACATTATATTTATTCAATAAAAATTTGATTTTATTTATATCTGGGGGCACGGCAGTGCCCCCGCCAAGTTGAGCAAAAAAGCGGCACGCCGTACCGTCCTTTTCTCGAAGCAGTTCAGGCCATTTTCGAAACTCTATAACTTCGTTGTGGATAAAACTAGAAGCCTGAATTTTCACTAACCAAGCAGGCATTTTATAAACTCGGAATATTTTATATTTTATTAAATTTGAACCAGTAGTTTAAGAATTATAACTAGTCAAAGTTTCTTAATTTTGTGACTCACTGACTGACCGATCATCAAAACTCTAAGGCACTTCTAGCAGACATAGAAGCTTCAAATTTGGAATAAAATTATTGTTTAATATAAAAATCAAGGAAAATTAAAATATTTTGCAATTTCGGTCCAGTTTTCGAGATACACAAACTGCATAAATAAGTTTGTTATCCTATATAAATATATAGGATTACAAAGTTATATTTGCAGTGAATGAATCAGTGCACCTATATATGTATAATATAATGGAATAATGGGTGTAGATAGGTACCTAGATATAACTATCTACAAAAAGAAATGAGATGCCATCAAAAACATAACTTGTAAATAAATCCCAGTCTCGCAACTCAGTGTTCTTCTACCATAAAAAGTTGTGAGATCCATGTAATACCAAGGCGGTTAGTTTATTCAGTCCCTACTTAGAGGTCCTTTTGTCTTAAATTATTACTTAATTAGCTAACGTAACAAAATCTTATATATAGTGACCATATCAATATCAGAAATATTTTATGTTTTACAAACAACCAACAACTAAACCGTTTTTTTTACCAACCTAAATGCAAACGCAAAAATGTTAAGATATTACATATTTTAAATTAAACTTTATTTTAACAAGGTAAAGTATAATGATAAGTGTTTACAAAAAACTTGACTTTACGAGGTGTATTTTGCATAAATAATATCGCGTGCTTAAAAATTAAATATGTTTTTCTTTTTATAGGATAGAATGACAAACGAGCACTGCGCTAGCACTTCTTACTAGTTTGTGAACGAGCACACAGTCCACTTGATGGTAACTGGTTGCTGTGGCCCATAGACATCTACATCTATCCTCGTTTGCGAATCAAAATACAGATGCGTTGTCACCCGTGAGGACTAAGGTAAAAAGGAGGAGGAGGGAATTCCTCTTTTCCAGTAAAAAAGGTCTCCGGTTCTCTACACTCACCATACGAAACACAGCAGTATTAAGCTGCTATTTCACTTTAGTATTCTGTGAGAGCGTGGTCCTTCCCCGGTCGAGCCGTTCCATTCGTGCTACAACTATACTACTAATATAGCTGCAGCATGGCTCTACCACGTACAAAACGCATTTGACCATTCAAACTTTAATCGATCAGTAATCAAATTGTGCTTTATATCGGTATCTAAGAACAGTTTTTCATATCGATATAAAAATTTCATATCGGTGATGTAACCATTATTATAAAAAACTGATACCCAATACCCATGTCTAAAATTTTGTATTATTTTTTATTTAAAGATCAAGGCATCTATGCTCATACAGCCTAGTTTGACTTGTATTTGTTTACTAAATTCCTTACGTTATGCTGATGCGTCACATTGCGAGGTTGTGAGAGAACAACAGCTTAATCCAGCGGACAATTAATGGTGATAGTACCTCAAGGTACCTTAGTAGATAATATATAAACAGTGACCAAAATAGCCGTAACTTATATTATGTATGTATTTATTGCCAAAAAAGCGCAGGTTATTGGTCTATTACTACTTCTTATTACTTTTTGACACAATCTTGCAAAATAATATGCATAACAGATTAGGCCAGTTATCTGTGGATTAGGCTCTTACGTCGTCATAATCTCTGCTCTGTCACCAAAAAGGGTAGACAGAGCAGAGATTATGTACTTCCATTATGCACAATCGATCTTGCTTCTTTTACATCCATATATTTAAACATCATACATCCTCTAGTAAACTATAATTTTAGAACAAATCAAAAATAAATTTAAAGTTATTTGTTGTTATCTGAATGACAGAGTTAGAAATTGTGTGATAAGAGAAGAGTGTGGTTTGCAAGATGATGTTGTGACCAGGATTAAGAAAGGAATGCTTCGGTGGTTTGGTTATGTAGAAATAATGAATGAGGAAGCAAATTTATGTTGCAGAGGTGAACGGCAGAGTAACAGTCGAGTCAAGGGACGCCCTAGGCGAAAATTTATCGACCAAATTAGCGATATATTGAAAATGGGCCAAATCAAGAGTACCTTTAACCGACTAGCGTGTATGCGTACCTACGCCTACACGCTAGTCGGTTAAAGGTAAGTAAGTCGGTTAAAGGTCTCGCTTCCTCCACATCCATATACCTATATGGATGTGGAGGAAGCGAGAAAGGTGTGTCAAGATGGTGTCAAATGAAAGTCCGAAGTCTCTGCCTACCTCTCTGGGAGACAGGCATGAGTGTTTATATATATATTAAAGTAATCATATTTGCAAAGATTTTATCTTTTTTTAATTTATCATTTGTCTACTATATCTCTACAGTATCTTTATGATATCTTTTGTGTAATAATTTTCGGTAAATAAAACTTATCGGTACGTACCATATTCGTTTCTTAAGAAAAATCGATATCGATTCTTTAGAGTTGGTAATCATTTACAGTTTTATTTCGATTAATACCAGAATAAATTAGAAACTGATAATTCAAAACACATTTATCTGTTTGTTCATATTTATTGTTACTGCTTACTTCTAGAGGCAAAGTTATAACATTGAAACTAAATTAAAAATAAATTTATTTACTCACTTTCAATACAACTAGTCTAGAGGTCGTTGTTTAGACTAATTATTATTTGATTTTCAATAATGTAGTCCTCATAAATATCTCTTTCAAAGTCATCTTTAATAATTTTCTTTGTTTTCTCCACTACTTTTGCTCAATTATCCTATGTGACATGGGCACATGCTTCCTTCAGCAAGCTTTCCATTTTCTTCACCGTGAAAGGAAAGTTCACAAAATGGCGGGCGATTGGAATTATGTAGTGCTGTTTCAGCGCGGTATTGAATATGAGTTTTATTGTCAACATAAATTTACGCTGACAAAGTAGAAAATAATAAAAAACTTGGTTTATGCATGATTCATATCATTTAAGCAACTTAAAAAAAATTAAATAAACAAATAATAAATTTAAAGATAACATTATTTGAACATTTTTACCGATTATTTAAGTAATTTTGCCAATTATTCGCATATTAATTAATTATGATAGCGACATATCATTGAAACAACGCTAGGCAAACTAGTTGATTCTGCTTAAACTTTTTATACATTTTACCATTTAAATTTTGCTTTTTTTTGATAGATTCGAACTTAAATTAGTGATAAAAAACTATACATGTTGTAATTAAATATGTACTACGTCATAATTATTAGGATTTATGTAAAAGGTTATTTTAAATCTTGCGAGTACGCTTGTACAAAGTTATTGCGGAATGATTAACGTGTAACGTCAAAAGGTATTTTTCTTAGACTTGGTTGGGTATAGTCGTATAGTCTTAACAAGGAACATACTTCTCTCTCCTAAACTGAATATTCCAGTTACCATTACTTTGCGTTTGCTGCGATGAAATAAAAAAAGAACACAAAAAAGATAAACAAAGATAAACGTCAATGTCAGCTCAGCTCAGTCCGCAGTCGGTAAAAAGAAACTAACAAACTAGGAAAGAAAAATAAGAATTGTACTTTTTATTTTAATTTATTAAGCGGTAAGGATAATATATTAAATAATAGTATAATGATAGCATGAAACATTTATATAACATTTGCAGAATGATTTTATTAATGTCTACTAACCCTTAATTTTCTATAAACCAAAATTATTAAGTATATCATAAAAGTATAGAATACTATCCACTAATGTACATTATAAATTACAGATTTTAATATTAGTGTGAACCCTAAATAAGTATCAAACTATGTTTCAGAATCATGACAAAGTTACTGGAATGGATATCTGTAATATCTGCTGTTTTTGCGGTGTGGTATTCTTTGATCGGGGGTTATGTGAAGCATCCAATGATTGAACAGAACATGAATCTTATTATAGTGTCTCCTATTATATTTATTATACTCTTCGGCTTGTATGCAGTGGCTGTAGTACTTTATAGAGTGTTTACCTTCAATAACTGCGAAGATGCAGCCAAAGAACTCCAAGCTGAGATTCTTGAGGCAAAAAAGGACTTGCATGATAGGGGTCTGAGGTGGTAAAATGTGGACTGGCATTCGAATAACTTTATAAGTTTCATTCCAATTTTACTTAAGTAATATTTATTTAATGTGTTTTAATAAATCATTTTCTGATAAATAACTGTCTTTACTTAATTTTCTTCAATCCATCTTGTTTAACTCATTAGTAGTGTAGTACTAATCTTCCTATTAAATTTGTTTGCAACTTTACCAGGTTCTTAAGTAACTGGCATTGATAGAATCTGCAAAATATTATTATATATTTATTTAATTATATTGTAGAGTGTGAGGAAGTAAATTGGTAACTACTATACTATACCTTTATATTACAAGTTTTGATGAACTTGCTCATATCCAATTTCTCATATATATATTTTTCCCCTTTGTCCTTTTCAATTTCATGTAGGGTTCATATGTTGAAGGTTCTGAAGTGTTTTTTAAATTGTTATTTTCAAAAGAGGTTTTGTCACACAGTGATTATGTTACCTTCCTAAATATATATTCCAAAATGTTAGGGAGAAAAGAAAGCAACTATTTACAACACGAATACGAAAAAAAAAGGCTTAATAAAATGTAAAAGCGGACTTCAAAAAGCTAAAAAGATTAAACAATTTTTCATTCTGAAGTTGGTGCTAAAACAGCTTATGGAAGAATTAAAGACACAAACTTCAGGATATAAAATTATTTTATTTTTTCTGTTCTTTGAAGTTGGCTTATACTTTTTATTAAGTTATTTTTAGGGTTCCGTACCTGAAGGTTAACCAACGAGACCCTAATACTAAGCCTGTGCTGTCTGTCAGTCTTTGTTTTTTTATAGGATAGGGTGACAAACGAGCACACAGTCCATCTGATGGTAAGTGGTTGCTGTGACCCATAGACGTCTACATCTATCCTCAATAATGAATCAAAATGCAGATGTGTTGTCACCCGTGAGGACTAAGATGGAATGTCTCTTCCAGTAAAAAGGGTCTCTGGTTATCTACACTCACCATATAAAACAGCAGTGCTAGGCTGCTATTTTAAGCTGGTATTCTGTGAGAATGTGGTCCTTCCCCGGTCGAGCCGACCCATTCGTGTTACAACTATACTACTAATATAGCTGCAGCATGGCTTTACCATGTACAGAGTCAGTCTGTCAGCGGGCTGTATCTCACATTTCGTAATAGATAGACAGTTGAAATTTTCACAGAATGTGTATTTCTGTTGTTGCTATAACAAAAAATTATAATAAATTAAGAATTAAAGGGGGCTTCCCTACTAGAAACGTGTATTTCGATGGTATGGAACACTTTATGCGCGAGTCCGATTCGCACATGGCTGGTTATTTAATTTACCTTTTTGGGTGGACTATACAATCTATATTGATGAATACTTTAAGAGTTGAGTTGTATTAAACGACTATGGGAACATCCTTATACGAATATAAGAAATAATGTATTTGCATACACAAGCAACGGTCCTCATCTTTTCCATACGGAAATACTTTTGAAAGGTTTGGATATGTTGTGTACGTAAGACAAAAAAAAACTCTAAAATGCTTTAGGTGCAGTACAATTAACCTAAGTCTTTGTTCGACTTCAAAGCGCAGACATAATCAGTGGGGTCAATGCGGGGCGAGGGGACACGTCACCGCGCGGCCTGCTGACCGCCACACCGCCACTTCGGATTGATCACCGCGTGCTATAACTCTATAGTCCTCTTCTATTCAGATTTTGTACAGTTTTCGTTAATAGGTATTAGACGTTAGCTACTAGTGTTGGTGATGTCCACCTTGTCTACTATGGAAGCCCCTCCTATGGAGAGAACTTCTCCTTCTTCTTCTCTTTCTCAGATAAGGCGCCCCAGGAACACGAGGCGCGACTTACTCCTCGGTCTGTAGCTCCACCTGCTTAATGTAATCTCCAAATCTAATACGCGGAGTCCATGGGGTTAGGATAAACGAGCACTCGGAAGTACCAGTTTTAATGACCCCAGCCGCGGCTCTTATCTGTAGATCCGCCGCTGAAAAGCGGCGCCTCGCAATACCGATACTCCTCTCCTCCCGCGGCCCCACTATCACCGCATCCCTGCCAGAGTCGCGGAGGATAGGACGAGTGGCGCATCGCCCCATACTAACACTCCTCTTCCCCCGCGACTCCGCCTACGCTGCAGCGGTAGACGCACCTCTCTCTTCACCGCAGTCCATCAACACATCTCCAATGGGGGTTCAAACTTAACATTTTTTTAACATGGAGAAATGCCTACGCATACCCTCCTCGCGGGGGCATGGACGGGTTATGTCGGATTTGCAGTGACTAAAATCCTATAGTGTTCCGCCTTCGCTGCATATTGGAAGGGCTACGGTAACTATTTCGCACACATCCGCGGCCCCCCCAGCGCAGGCCACCCCATGGCGCCTCCTCCTCGGGAGAGGACTACTCTCCCATATCTCCTTCTCAGGTAAGGCGCACCTTCCTCCGCGGCCTCCAACTTCACCTGTGTAACGTACGCCCCCGTGTCCGATGCGCGAAGGCCATGAGGCTAGGGAAAACGAACACTCAGAAGCACTAGCCCTCCTGACCTTAGTGGCGTATCCGGTCTTGGGCTCCGTCGCCAACCAAGATTCGACTGCAGAGGGAGCAGCCTCACTACCATCGCATCGACGATGCGGCCTTGTCAGAATCGCGGAGGATAGGGCGAGTGGCGTATCGCGATACCAACACCCTTCATCTCTCCCTCCACGACTCCACCTCGGGTGCAGCCATAGATAATATACTATATACGGACGGGCACACTGAAATGATCGGGAATAGAATATTTCGGATTGAGTTATAATAAAACCTTTTTTAGAATTAAAATACTGGTCTCTTAGAATCTTAATGACATTCACACAATTAAAAAAAATGTTTAAAAACAAAAACTATGTTGGTTTAAAGTTGACACGTCGTTAACAGAAATGGAGCTCACGCGTGAACATTTCCGTGCCATAATTTATCACAATTTTCGTCGCGGCTTATCTCAAGATAAATGTCTCAGCAAACTTGTTTCGATTTATGACGTTGAAGCACCAAGTCAAACGACAATAAATAAATAAATAAATAAATAAAATCTTTATTGATCAGCTACCGCAATATACCGCTGGTAAGCCGAGTTCCGACGCGGTCGTGTGTCGTTCAGCACTGTTTCTTCTGCAGGTCGACCAAGAACAGCGTTCACGCCTGAAAACATCGCAGCTGTGCGAACTATCATATTAGATGACCGTCATGTAACATACGAGCGGATTCGGGCTGTTATCAGTATCGGAATGACTGCAATTCAGTCGATATTACATAATAAGCTGTGTGTAAGAAAGCTAGTTTCTCGTTGAGTTCCCCACAATTTGTCCGAAGAGCAAAAGGCGGCTCGTGTAGATTGGTGCCGGAATACTCTGCAACGCTTCAACGGAGGGAAGTCAAATGCCGTTTATAATATCGTCTCAGGTGACGAATTATGGATTTATTTATACGAACCTGAAAGAAAACATCAGTCAGCAGTTTGGGTCTTCGAAGACGAGGTCAAACCAACGAAAGTGGTTCGCTCCAGCAGCGTGTCAAAGAAAATGGTCGCTACGTTTGTCACGAAAAAGGGGCATGTTGCTACAACTCTTTACAGGAACGCAGAACGGTTACCGCTGAGTGGTATATCAAGGTTTGTTTGCCAGAAATGATAGCCTAACTCCGAAAAAATAACCCGAAACGTCGCATTATCTTACATCACGATAATGCGAGCTCCCATACGTCTCGGAAGACAAATGATTTTTTGAAGCAGGAAAACGTTGAGCTGATGCCATCCTCCGTACAGTCCTGACCTGAGCGCAAAAGATTAGAATAGAATAGAATAGAATGATTTTTATTCAATATGGATTATTACATAATACTTATTGAAAGTCATTATTTTATTTACCACTGGTTCGGAAAATACCTCTGTCCTGGGAAGAACCAGCAAGAAACCCAGCGGGACATTTTTTTTTAAACATAATTTCACTTAACAATAATTTTGTTTATACAATTTTAAATGAATTTTCATAGAACCAGCATGGTGGCGATCACCTTATTCCCAGGGGTTATTTTCATTCATGTATTCCTTGATATTATAATAACCCTTTTTTTACATTCCCTGGAATGAAAGATTTATTACGCGGTCAACGGTTTGAAGACCCCGAAGCAGCTCTGGAAGCGTACAAATCAGCCATTTTGTCAACATCAACTTCAGACTGGAATTATTGTTTTAATGATTGGTTTGCACGAATGGAAAAGTGCATTAAATTGAACGGAGAATACTTCGAAAAACAATAAACTACAATTTAGCTATAACGGTATAGCTAAATTGTATTTTATTTTATTTACCTTGGGCCAGCCATGTGGGTTCTTCTTTGTTCCCCGCGGGTGACCACGCCACGGCTACTAAGCCCACTCGCCACGACAAGGCGGAAACCCATTCGGGGGTTCAAACTTAACTTACCCTAACCTAATCTATCTTTTAGTTCTCTGCTCAATTTAATTATTTCAATAGGTTTTATCATATTTTCTATTCATATTGGGAATTTTTCATAGTTGAATAGAAAATATGGTGGTCATTTACCAGACGACTCGACGCCTCCGACTCCGGTACTAAACGACTGTCGCCGTGGGTAGGCAATGTCACGTCTTCGACCTAGTGTCGTACTTCTAAAAGCGCTTTTATTGCTAATCTAATACATAATCTTATATAATATAAAATGAATGTTTGTTTGTTCGTATTTTATGGACTGCCATACTGTTCATTAGATTGCGGTCATAGTACAATTAACTCACAGTAGGTGGCGCGTGTATCGTACCGACAGATTTATTGGAAAGTTATATTAAATCATTAAAGTTCAATGAATGTATTAACAATAATTCAACAGTATACTTAATCCTTCCAAATTTAAAACTATATTAACGCAGTTATTCATCCGCGGCTGCAACGCGCCGGGTACCAACCAGTAGGTAGTGTAAAAATAGAATTTGACAATACCTATAGAA